GATGACTAATAGCAATGTGGTCTATCTGTGTCCATCGCTGAGTCGAGCTCGGTGGACGCCAGGTCAGACAGTGCCTTTCTTTATGTCTGAAATTTGTGCTGGCTAAAAATAGGCGGTTATCTGAGCATAGTTGTAATAGGCGATCACCGTTATCTGTACGTTCAGCTGGGATTCCGAAAGTGCCACCTAAGTGCCTTTCTGCCTCACTCAGTCTACCCACCTGTGCGTTGAGGTCACCTGCAACAACCACTACGTCCGAACGTTTGGCTTTCGAGAGGAGGTTAGACAGTTTATGGTAGAACTCGTCCTTCACTTCATCCGAACTACAGTCAGTGGGTGCGTAAGCAGAGATTACAAAGAGACAACGGCGAGTCTCACTATTCCTTTTAGTTCTCACTGTGCCGTTCAGCCTCATAGCGCAGAGGCGACTATCAACTGGGATCCAGTCTAGTAGTGAGTTTTCTGCCCTGGTGCTTAATGCTATACCTACACCTGCAAGACCACGAGAGCTAGCTATCGAATCTCCAGAAACTCGAAGGGTGAATTTTGCAGATTCACCAGATTGGTCAGGAGAGGTCAGGTGAATAACCACACTTGGGTCCTGTATGCGTGTCTCACAAACACAGCACACATCCATGCCCGAGTTGCTAGAGTCTTTGCCAACGAAGCCTGTTGGCCAATTTGACGGAGGGTGCGGACATTGAAGGCTCCAATATGTAATTTGGAGCGTGGTTTAAGGAGACCAGGGATGCTGTTCTGTGGACTCAGATCGTTGTCGAAGGCTGCAGAGGTAGGAGAAATTGAAGATGATGCAGCATCATTAATTAAGAGACGTGAAGGAAGATTAGAAGGTAATGATGGAGGAGGAGGATAGCAGTCAGAAGAAACTTGGGTGCTGACAGAGTTGTGAGGGCGGTTGACACTTCCCGGCTGCCCACACCGTGGAAGGCTATTTCTTCTTAAGGTACCTGAAAGAGATTTGTGTGACCGCAGAGCCCATCGGACATCTGCTTGAGGCCTGTCACACCCAGCCTTTTGAGTATGATTATTTTGAATTTTTGTATTTTTGGGGCCGGATGAGCGAAAGGAAACGACAAGTGAACCAACACCGCCGGCCCGGCAGACCGTGGGGCGTGGTGGAGTGTGTTATTTTTGGGGCCGACCTTTTCTAACCCCCCCTTCCACTGAGAAGGCAGCATCAGCTTGGCACTGCTGGTCATCCAAGGGAAACACCTTACTGCTGTCACACCCCATCCAGCTAGCAGCAGTACGACTTCGCCCTCAGACCCCCATCATAGTGTAGCAATTTACACTATAACGGTAACTGCTTTTCGTCTAACCACTACCCAACAGACCTTTCTGGTATGGTAGGACCTCGAGGGAACAAGCGTTCCACCAGCATAGCTCGTTGGGTCATTGTGATATGCAAGCCCGACCACTACGTCAAGGTAGCAGCCTGTAAAACTAAGACTGAAGTTGATAGCCATAGATCAAATTTTGACGAAATTCACCAGCAAGTGAAAGAAGTTGACAGGAAATTATCATCAGTACGAGGAACTGGAGTAATTAGTATGATTCGTTTAACTCATATGACTGATCGCGGTTGCTTAACATTGTATAAATGGGGAATATGCTTTCATAATAGCCTAAGAAGAACCTGTCAAAATAACAATTTTTAAGCTACCAAATTCATAATTGACCGAGTGGCTGAAGGGTTAACGCGTTCGCCGTGAAACCTGGTGGTCCTGAGTTCGACCACTAGCCGGGTCGTGGGTGCGTACTGCTGAGGAGTCCCATACTAGGACGAAACAGCTGTCCAGTGTTCTCAGATTTTAACCTCGCCTGGTTAAACCCGGTCATAAACCCGGGTAAAGAGGAAACGTTGGGCATAGGGCTAGCAACCCTACCCCGTAAAACACATCCAACCGCTAAAGAAACTTCAAAGCACAAACGAAAAAAAAATAATAACAAAATTATCCCGCGCTGGAATCGGAGAGGCGAAATGACGCCAGTTGGTGAAAGCCTTCGTGGAAGCCAATTGGCCGATGTGTCTTCTCCTGATGGAAGCGAAAGTAAGCATGGGGACATGGAATGTCCGCACAATGTTTGAACCCAGCAAGGCAGCCCGTATGGCAAACGAGATGAAGTGGTATCACATCGAAGTGCTTGGAATTTGCGAAAGCAGACGGAATGGGAGTGGAGTCTCCAAACTGTCAACTGGAGAATCAATAATCTACCCCGATATTGTCACCCAGACGACAACCACGAGCACACTGAGTTATAGAGTGGCTATCATGATGTCTCCAACAGCATCGAAGGCTCTCATGCAGTGGGAACCAACCTCCTCCAGGATCAGGACAGAAAGGTTCAACTCACAAGGAAGGAAAGTCACAATCATACAATGCTATGCACCTACAAATAATGCAGAGCAAGAGAAAAAGGAGGAATCCTACAGACAACTGCAATCAACACTGGACAAGACCTCAGTTGGAGATATCAAAATTCTAATGGGCCACATGAATGCCAAACTGCGGGGAGCAGACAACACAGGAAGAGAACTAACCATGGGTCGAGAAGCACTCGGCGAGATGAACGAGAATGGAGAATTGTTTGCAGAATTCTGTGCATTCAACGATTTGGTGATTGGAGGCAGTGTGTTCAAGCATAAGGATTTCCACAAAGCGACCAGACACCAGGACACACTACACTAAAAATCAAATCGACTTTATCTCAATCTCAAAAAGGTGGAGACGCAGCCTACTTGACACAAGGTCAAGAAGAGGAGCAGATGTAGGTTCACACCATCAGGACAAAATGGGAGATATCGAGGAACCTCCCTGAAGAAACCTGTGTGGAAGAACACTGGAAGTCTTTGAAAGCTATGTGGAAAGAAACCTGCACAACAGTATTAGGAAGGAAGAAGAAAGAAGACAAGAAATGGATCTCGACGGATACATGGAAGCTGATAGAGGAGAGGAGGATGGTGAAGCAGAAGATAAACCAGTGCAAGGATGCACAACGTAAAGAGGAACTGAGTACAATGTGTAAAACACTGGACAAAGAAGTGAAGAAGAGTGCACGGAAAGACAAGAGACACTTCTACGAAACACTGGCAAGTGAAGGAGAACAGGCTGCAGGTAAGCGAGACCTGACAACATTGTATCAAATAACCAGGTTGCTAACTGGAAAGAAATCAACGCAGACGAAACCAATAAAGAATGATGAAGGAAATCTAATTACCAAAGAAGAGAAACAAAGGAAACAATGGGCCGACCACTTCAAGAAGCTCTTGAATCGACCACCACCACCACCTGCACTTCGTCCAGAAATACCACCTACAGCCCAGCCGCTGAACTACAAGTGAACATAAATCCTCCAACAAAAATGAAAATCCTGAACGCTATGAAGCTACTGAAATGTGGGAAAGCAGCAGGACCAGATGAAATTCCTCCAGAAGCACTGAAAACAGATGCAGAGACAACAGCGGACATGCTCGCACCACACCACTATTGCAGAAGGTGTGGAAGGAAGGGAAGGTACCTGGCCATTGATTGGAAGAAGGGTTACCTTGTCAAACTCCCGAAGAAGGGAGACCTCAGTGTTTGCAAGAACTGGCGAGGAATCACTCTCCTGTCCACCCAGAGCAAGCAAAATATTAGGCCCCATCATCCTGGAAAGGCTTGAAGATGCACTGGATTCAAAACTACGACCGGAAACTGCTTTAATACTACGGAATGCCACAAACCTTTATCCGCCTCATTCAACAACTATATGAAGATGTCACATGCCAAGTAATCCACAATGGGAAGCTCAGTGATGCTTTTGAAGTGAAGACAGGAGTGAAACAAGGTTGCCTACTATCACCCATGATATTCCTGATTGTGGTCGACTGGATCATGCAGCAAACAGTGAGGAGCGAGATGATGGGGATACGCTGGACTGCGGAAAAGAACCTAGAAGACTTGGATTTCGCCGATAACTTGTGCCTGATGTCACACAAACTTGGAGATCTACAGGCGAAAACTAACAAGTTGGTAGAAGAGGCAGCGAGGACAGGACTTCAGGTGAAGACAGAAGTGATGAAGATACCGCACCAACAACCCCAACAACAACAAGCTCCAATCACCATCAACGGGAGAAACTTAAAGGAAGTTACCGCCTTCACCTATCTAGGAAGCAATGTTTCAACTACAGGCAGCACGGACGAGGATGTCAAAGTCAGAATCAGAAAAACAGCAAAACGGGCCTTCATTAATCTGAAATCAGTGTGGAGATCTACTGCACTCAGCACAAAGAACAAGATCCGGAGTTTCAACACCAATGTCGAGTCAGTGCTGCTATATGGCTCAGAAACTTGGTGCGTCACGGAGAGCACTCCCAACAAACTACAGACATTCATCAACAACTGCCTACGCTGGCTCGTTACTGAAGATCAGATGGCCAGAATAACAAGAATAAGCAACAAGGAACTCTGGGAGCGAACCAACCAAGAACCTATCGCTCAACAAATATGCACTGGAAGGAAGTGGAGATGGGTTGGGCATGCACTGAGAAGGCCAACTGGGGACATCATGCGCCAGGCCTGGCCCTCGAATAGAACCCAGATGGGAAGCGACGAGTTGGTCGTCCGAGACGAGGCTGATATGAAGGAGATCGTGCGAGGGGGAAATGAGAGCTTCTGGGCTGTCGTGGAGCCAGGTTCAAAAGATTTCAGAGAACAGAGTTCACTGGACATGTGCTACTGAAGCCCTATGTTCCACTAGGAACCCAAGGGACCAATAATAATAAATAATAATAATAATAATAAATTCATAATTAAACAACATTTATTAACATCAGAGTGTGAAATGTGACCAGTCAATTAAAACTGACGATTAGTTGATCCGAAACGTTGTCCGATTGAAGATTTGTCAAAGACAAAAGTTCGTAACACATTAGGAAGTAGAAGTGAGAATGATTCAAGTTTAAGGGAAGAGTAACCAAGTAGTTCGATAACTAACCTTCGGGTCATATCGCTTGAATGAATCAAGGTCCAAACCATCAGGCTGTTTAATACCTGGAGTGATTGAGCGCAGGAAATCTTCAGGAGTCATATAAACTGTTTCATTGTCTTCTTCAACGCTTTTAAGTGTTGCGAAGTACCGAAAGATCTTATCTGGCGTGGAGTAGGCCCGAATACGATTTTCATATGCAATGAACTACATTTTTAAAAACAGGGTTCACTCGTTAGCGGTAAATATGGGTAGTTTATTTTACGATATTAAGGGTTCCATGCAAAAGCAGTACTAATTGAATCTGAACCAATGACATGGTTCCAAAAATACTTTACAGAGTTTCAGATATAAAACTGGAAAAACATTTCTAGGAGGTAACACGATCGGAAGATTATCAATATATTCACAGAGAACAAATGTTTATTTAGGTACGAAAACATTCTCTTTTTTAAAAATCGCTTAATCTATTCATATGCAACAAAAACACAGGCAAAAAAACTTCAAAAACTTTCAGAGTTCAAAAAGTTTTGTCACGCGACTAATCTACCTAAGCGAAATTTGTTGTTCATAGTCATATCAAGATCTCGATATGACTATAAAAAATAAACTGTGTTGTAAACGCAATCCAGTAAACAGTACTGCTTCACTGAGCGATACATTTTTGTAAATCAACTAGAGCTTGTGCTGATGATGTTGTCTAGAATGACAACGCGAACTTCACGATTAAACCGTCCAGCTCAGAGAACACAACACCATCAAAATGGAGTTACTTTTTATCACAACGCCAAGTCTTACTCTCATATTATTATCATGTCTGGCGGCTTCTTTAGTACTGGTTTTCTTTACTGACAACTTAACAATTTCTGACGAATTTTTTATGACGTTAGTTTTTAAAAAATTTACTGGAGCTAATGATGAAACAACGGACCTAACGAAATGTCAAACGTCTGTTGTGTAGAAAACCGTACAATTTCTTTTTTGGCTCCGACGAGATCGTACGACCAAAGCTTCGTTAATCTATGACTCTGTTTCTTGCCTTTTTTTAATGCTTCAAGTTCATTTATAACTTTAACTTTTCTGTTGGTTTTTATCAGTTGTTTGGAAATGCTGGCTTAAAGTACTACTGAAACCAGTTATTCGCAGTGCACTTAGTTTGTTCACTGTTTTATTCATAAAAAAAATAGTTTTAAAATAGCAGAAACAGCCAACTAGTAAACACCACAAGTGAAATCATAGTGCGAAAGTAAGACATCATTCCCGCGTTGTTTTACGGAAATTTCGTTTTTGATAACCATCTAAAAACACATATAAAACACCCACAACATAAGCCATGATGTATGCAGTCAGGCGTTTTTCGCACTATAAGTAGCATCATTTCCCCTCTTCTCAATGACTGAGAATCACTAAAAACGTCGCAACTTCGTTCCCTCGAAATTTTCAGTGATATCAAAATGTGAAGCTGTAATGCATGTCAAATACTGAAGCATTTAAGGTACCAGATTTCGATAAGAATGTGCAACTTTGAACTAATTATGACCTTTAGATAATGAATTTACTCCTACAAACTAGTCTAGATAACCCTAAGTGGAGTTGTGGCTCATCGGTTTAGGGAGATAACTTTCAACCAGTGGGTTACAGGTCCGAGCTGCGCTCCATCTACTAAGCTTCGGGCCGCCAGGTAGTATCATTAGCCCTCACACAATAGGTGTGGTTCATTGCTTACTGCAAGAATGCGCACAATGTTGATGGGTGCATTAAATAAATACATAAATAAGATAACCCTAACATGGATAACATGCCAACGATCACTGACTCATATAAACACTAAGGTTACAATGATTGTTCGGTAGATCCATGTGAGTTTATTAATCCTAGATACGAAAGATGGGCAGTGAAATAATGACTCATTGTTCAGAACGCTGTCAATGAAACCATGCACCGAAAAATCAATAAAAACAAAATAGAAATTAAACCAGAACAATTGACAGGAAACGAATAGATATAAAGTTATAAAACGCAAGATAGATTTTTTTAAAGTACAGTTTTTTAGATTATACAGATTCACCTCGTGAAATCTACTTAGTTTAGTCACATATCATCATGAAGTTAGGCAGTACCTTTACATGACCATGCTGTCACTCAGTACATACCTACTAAATGAGTCATATTCCTTAAACAAAACTATGAATAACAGCAGCACTGCTTAGCAGATACGATACTTTCCACTGGGGACAGACTGGGCCTCTAGGCAGAGAAAAGAGTCATTCAGGTGACCAATAGAGAATAGTGTGTTACACGTTAGACAGTAGGGAATGCCTTCTGCAGCTTTATATAGATCACAACCTTTTTCTAGTAAGCACCAAATTCAGACAGTCATCGGAGTTGCGCTACCTGGCGACCACCCTTTGCTACTCAAGTTTGGACTTAACAGATCCCTTTATCATCGGTAACGAACAGCAAAAGTGAATTCACCACTCCTATTCCTTCCGGAACATACGTTTCGACTCTGATCACAATAAAGTGTGACGGAAATTAGTCTTCCGCATTCACGGTTGTCAATATCTTCATTCGAAATGAATCAATAGTAGTAAACTGGTTGGACCTAGTATTGGAACTAAAAATGAACTTAGATTCGATGCTAGTTGTCGAACCTCTAGAAAGTATAGATTTGCCTTAGTTACGTCTACCAGCCATGAAAACTGTAAGTAAATCTGTCTGTGGCTCTAAAGAATGTCAGCTAACAAACACTGGATATCGGTTGGCTATTTACAACTTCTTGACTTTCGCTGGTGTATTTCAGTAGGGAGCAAGTACACTGGTGTGTGTATGCCCATTACCCGACAGACCATTCAACACTTATGTACAGCCTATTGGTCTCAATAGCAGCAGTTTCATCTGACAGTAGGCTAAAGCTGTTTCAGTTCAATCAAGACACCGGTAGCAAGAATACTGGAGTTGGTCAGACGATCTTTTAGGCAGATGGTACGCCGATAACCAACGAGAAAACACACCTGAAACGCTAGTAAGAACGTCTAGCGTACTTTTCCAGCAAAACCAGTCTAATGTCTTGTGTTCCAAAGTCAGTTAACACTGAACCATGTAACCGAGCAATGGTACGTAACAAATTCCAAAACATTATAAGTCTACACAGCCAAGGCAACCTACTTCTACGTAATCTTAGAGATGGAAGTGACGCTGCAGTAGGGAAGACTACTCTCAAGTAAAATATGACTGACTGCGATAGTTAGATAACCCCAGATTTAACCACAGAAAAAGGCTACCTAATGTATGTGACTATCATTACACTATGAGCCTGATACACGCAGCCACTTAGGGGTTGTCCGCTATCATACTCCGAAGGTTGTCCAGAATGCATGAGAAACTGATCCGCGAGGAGCAGGCCGGGTTTCGTCCCCGTTACGGATACATCGACCACGTGTTCCTCTTCTGTCAGATGTGCGAAAACCGGCACAAGTATTGCAAGCAAAGGGATGTTTTTCATTTCTTCACGTTAGAGCTCTCTTCAAGTCAAGAAACACAGTTGAACTCTATAATTGTCTGTTATGGAAGGGTGTCCTTGATTTATTAATCTCCTGAAAACCACATGCAAAAATACCTCAGGTACAGTGAAGGCATATGGCTACCTATTTCTTATTGTTTCCAACCAATAGTGTGGTTGGGTATGGCCGCCTGATTTCGCCATTTCTTTGCCATCGATAGCATTCTAATGACAGCCCTACCATATGTAAGTACATAGTGGTAGGGTAGACCTGTTATGAAGTCGGAGACGTTTGTACCTCGAATCTGAGGACGATATTGTTTGACTGTGCAACAACATACAGGTTACTCAAACCGCATCCAGTCAGTTGGTGATCAATGTCCGTAAGTATGGTATGTTCTTCGCATTGTCGAAGTGCCTTTAAAAGATTTTCAGTATCCTGTAACTGCAATCACCCTTGGTAATGAATCACTAGAAGTTGATGAGATGTCCGTAGACCTGGTTAGTTGCGAGTGTTGGTGGACGTATGACTGATGACATTTTCAAGCAGGAATCAGTGACCAGAGTGGTACACGCCAATCTCGGCCACCTTTGGTAATGTGAAGATGCCAACCATTCTGTAAAAGGTCAGGTATACAAAGCGTCAGTGTGTGCAGTTTAGCTCTATGCCCATGGGACCTGGCCTCTCCAGGCTGAGGATGTCCTATGACTGAATTTTCGGTTACCATTATTTCCGCGAGATTACTTGTACCCGGTGTTAACATTATGTAAGTATCTTCTGAGTGGAACGGTGTTTTTTCAGTACGATGATGATTGTCACTTATTGAGTACGGTCATCTCAAAACACTGGCTTCGGTGGCTTAGACATGTCGCGTGTGTGCTCCCAGCTGTTCGAACACCTCTCACTGTTCTCTTGCCTTGGGGCTGGTTAGAAGAAGTGGAAAGATGACCGATGTATGACGTGCGATTGAATATAGTTGTGTTGGGTTGACATCAATAGGTGTCTCACGACTTCCTGCGTGTGGTCCTACACATCATTTAATCCAGTGGCTGAAGACAATAGCGAACAAGGTTCAGAATCAGAACTAATGGCGATAATGCTGCAGTTTTCTCGTTTCTTCTGTTACTGATAGTAAAACGAAAATAAGGAATGTTCTTCTGAAGAATACTTCAGTCAGTTTATACTAAGAAGATATGTGACATTTGTGTTGTATTCCAGGTTGTTACATGTCATATGGACTCTTCAAAGTACATAGTTCCTAGGAGAAAGAATGAGGAAAGTAGTTAGAGGTAGTAGTGTCAAATGAAGAGGAACGGGACAGTAATGTAATTTGGTTTGACGAATAAGATGAAGGTAATGTGTGGATACATGTCCATCACTTGGATCGATTCCGAGTCATATCATCAGCACGAGAACTGCAGTCGGGAAATCTACATACCTTAGCAATAGACTTCTATTTCAATTTTATTTTTGTATATATTGGTCCTAAGTGTTGTTGCATTTCGTGATGTGCACTTCTTGGTTTCAACATTGTAACACATTCTCAGTGAGTGTAGTGAACTGTCGGAACGCATGTTTATCGGTGAGAAAGTAGTTGCTTTAAGTTTGGTTCTTACCTAACCAAGTAACAGCCTTACTGGCGAGTAAATAACTTGCCTATCATTACGACCAGAGTCAACCATTATATCCTGCCCCAAGCTATTGATCAGAATGATAAAAGGGTTAGTGACGAAGATAACATATAAATAAGATTCAATGGTAAAGATATCACTTTACGATACTTTAAAGCAGCGAGAAGCTGAACTGATGTTAATATCCCCATTAGATTACGACTGTATAGTGGACAACTGAAGAGCAGCTGTATAACAGCTGAACCATTTCTCCAGGCGTTTTCCTATTGACTCAATCGCCAAACTTTTGTGTGAAACACCATGTCAGTCGACTAAAGAACGTCTTTACATAGTTAATTGATATTACAGGGCAACGTGGTGTTAGCCGAGATTGAGTCTGGACAAAGAGATGACCATACCAGAAGGTGACATTAGTTCATTAGGTCTGAGTCGCTTATGGAAATGCGAAGTTCCCAGTTTCGGTTCGCGTCCAACGAAAGTCGATAGTTTAAGACTATGTGGTAAAGCTCAGAATCGATCTTAACAGAGCAGAAGTGTCAGCACATTTCAACGATTATCGCTGAGTTACTTTTAGGTATTGCTTGCCCTTTTTATCATGCTCACGACTCTTCGTTAGTTTCATCATGTAGAAAACGATCTTCAGACATTAAGAGTTGGTAGGTTAGAGGCATTTTTGCTAACGAATAGAATACAAGCTAGTGTTAGTAATTGCCTTCCACGTCAATGATGCACGTAATTGAACAGTAATTTCATTTCAAACTTGAAACCGAAGATAAAGCTTGGATTCGCAACACAAAAACTAGAATATAGGCTGGGAACTGTTTACTAAGATATAAGAATTTGAATTAGTGCAAAGAAAACACAAAATTAGAGACGAGTAGGATAACTAAACAGATGATTCATGGCACTTCTCTGCATGACTTGCAGACAGTATAAAAACCAGGTTGGAAAAATGAAATATAGTTGAACATGTGAACATTAATTGAACCTTATACGAAAAGACCATTGAAACTATATGTTAACCTTTCGATCCCGAAAACCAATATGCTTTTTCTTTGATGCTTCATTATCATTGGTTCTTCTTCGTCCAAACAGAAAACCGTCGACTGGCAATCTACCTTTATTGCCTTAGAATTCTGAAATCACGGTTTTGAAAGTTAAAATGAACTACTTTTCTCTTTGCACGCTCTTGTTCAAAGAAGTTCTTAACCTTCTTATCAACATAAGCGGATCTGAAATACGTTTCAAGGATTTTGCCTTACCCACCGAATGCCAGGAAAAAAAAACAGCTCAAAAGAGTGGCAATGTAAGCACTGTATACATAGTCTGTCTTTCCAGGGTACGCATTTCTATAGTGAGTGTATCGATTACGATACGAATGGTGCAGCAACATTTTCTGTTCGAATACAGCTGAAAAGTCATCCCATTTGGAAAATAAAGAAATATGCTTTCGTGTGGTAGACCACCTGCTAAAAGGCACGATGATATATCGATGAGCGTAACAAAAGAACACCATAGGTAATGTTGAGAGATTTTTCGAAAATTGCGCTACATCAATCAGTAATACTTTGAAAAAAAGTAGCTTCTCTACTTATTTTGAGATGTTCCGATTTGACAATAAGTTTTGAACGACTCTGATTACTGAATAAATAAATATATTGTTTTAAAGAGTTCTTGTCCTGGTTACTACCGGTCATTTCAAGTTCGTGTCCGCTACAGTAGACATGCGCAGGACTGACTCGCCTATGCCTTCTAACGGATACAGAACTAGTGTTTCTCCCAGAGGACGACGATATAGTCGATCACGTTCCCGTTCTAAGTATGTTCATCACCCTACCTAATTGTTTCAGGTCACATTCACGCCGTTATAGGAGTCGCAGTGGTAGCCGAGATTACTATCGTCGTAGCCCTGGTTACGGTTATCGCAGTTCGGGTCGAAAGTAAGTGTAAATTTTTCTCAAGTTCAGTGCATCATATGTTTTGCTTTCACAATCCCAACATCAGGATTTATGGTACTACCGCAATAACTATGACGAAGCGGTGTCGGGACGTGGTAATCTAGTTACTTATGAGATTGGTACTATCGTGCTGGGGTTACGTGCTTTTCTTGTATTTTTAACATGTATTTTAGGTATACTTGTTTGCACGTGGTCAGGCTTTTTTATGTTCTGTGTTGCTTGCTCTGTCCTTAGCGTACACTGTTAACTTTACTGTACTTGATGTTGGTCTGCACTGTATTCTTTCGAGTTGGTCTCTACTGCGAAACTGTTATCCACATGTCTGGTATCTGTATTCGGACATTTCACGTTGCCTAAACTCTTAGCTGGTCTCATATATAGGTTAGGTCATTCAAAATGTATGTTTGCATACTGAAGGAACTTGGATCATTGTAGGTTAAGAATTGTTGTAAGGTAGTCATGTCGCCATCCTCATTTCGGGAGTACGTCGTTATATGCACATTTTTCTTAGCCGCAACTGTGAATATAACTTTAGGCCTGTTTGCAGTGTATGTACTTCAGTATTGCGACTAGATTCTCAACATGTCTTCGTTTAGGGGTAGCACAAAACCTTGAGTCGATTGCGATAATTTGTTCATTGTGAACTCACCAACCCAAACTGAACAGTGTTGCTACGGCGCCATTTCTGTTGAGTTCCGTAAGATGGAAAGCGTCTTATTAAAGCGATATCTGCAAAACATTATGAGATTGCGCAACTTGCTTTTGTGAGGTCTATCAATCTGGCGTAACTTGATAAGTATGCTGTGAACATCATATTACGCTACTTATTAAATCAGTGGAATTCAGGTTTTAGGTTGCCTATTACAATTGTGGTCCTTGTAAGACCTATCATGTTTTGAGTGCTTAAGGTTGTTAGTGCAGTCAATGTTCTCAGAGTTGTGGACATCTTAAGAGCCACAATGTTCTTTTATATTTCCACTAGCCTAAGCATCTGTCGCCCTTCCGCAGTAATTTACTTTTTGCTGCCTGAAATTTCTACTCCTACATACTGAACAGTACTGAAATGTATGAACTTCAAAGTAAACAGTTGCTCGGTTAGCATAAATTGTACCTCTGACATGTGTCAGGTAATATCCCGTCAGCTGGTTGGTCATGTTATCGTTCTCTCTGTCATTTTAGTGGTTCACTGTTGAAGCTCCACGTCCGAATTCATGTCAATATAGGCTTCTAAACGGATATTGGGGATAGGCAAGTATGCATTTTCGTAGATGTTTAGTTCGGCTAGGTTTCCAGATTACTCGCCTCTTTTAATAACCTTACTCAAAGTCTTTTTCTACTGTCGTATAAATACTTTTGACTAATGATTGCAAATATTGTTTATATTTCAGACGCTTTCTTGGGCCTCGAGAAAATCCTAACCCATCTAGGTGTTTAGGAGTTTTTGGATTATCCCTGCACACTCAAGAAAGAAACTTGTATGATATTTTTTCCCAATATGGAAATATCGAAGATGTGCAGCTGGTTTTTGACAACTATACTGGTTGGTTAAATATTTTTACCTTATTTCATTTCTAAGGTCGTTCTCGAGGATTTGGCTTTGTATATTTCACGCATGTAGCCGACGCAAAAGCTGCTAAGGCAGATGCACATGGTATGGAAATTGATGGACGACCAATTCGATGTGATTTCAGTATAACTGAACGTCCTCATTCCCCAACTCCAGGGATTTACATGGGTCGGCCATCTAGGTAAGTTGCGTACACTGTGAGGACTGTTTTTTCCTCTAAAATCATAGTGATACACAAGGTGTTCTTTCAGTTTCCCTAATCCTGAGTAGAAAAAACGAGCCTCATCTTTACTGAGTTTTTAAACTTTCCGAATGACACCAACAGATGTGTAGTTGTAGACGATGTAGGCATAGTTTAAGTTTGTTGTTGATAAATGGTCATTTTAGCATATGTAAGGATATAACTTGTTCAGAGCCGGCGTATCAAAACGATGTCACCATCTTTTATTGGTAATCAAACCAATTCATGATCTCGTGAAGTGTGATTTTTTATGTTGTCTAAAGTCATCCTATCCCAACCCGGCTTCTGATTGAGTACTGTAACTTATGATTGTGCTGCAAAACTAAAGAATTACTTTTGATCCGCTACATGTCTGTTGTGACAATTTAATGTTCTTAGGTTTTCAGTGTCCATACAATCCAGAACGACTTTGGATGTATTGTGGTATTAGTTGCCTGCCCGCTGTTGGTTGGAGATCATAGAAATCTATTCGTGCGTTCGTTTGCAAAGTGGAAGCTTTCAGATGTTACAACTGAAACCGGGTTGCTTCTCACCAACTTGTGTAGCGATTGCCGCCTGACTTCCTTTCAAAAAATATATTCTAAGTCCAACCTTGAACCCTACTTTTGGGTTTCATACGAAGTTTGTTGATCTTGGTGGAGGACCTTATTTTGCATAAGTTTACAAAATAATATTTAGCAGGTTGTGACGGACAAACTGCTTTTTAAACCAGTTTTATTATCACTATGTTATTAACACGAAATCTTAACGTCTAATAAATACATGTTTGAAACCCGCTCGATACCTACTCGTTCCTACTAACTTTAACTATTTTAGTGACTTTAAAGGCATTGCTTCGAGAAGTTGAGCAGGGTTCCAGTAACTCACTGAGTTAATATTGGACGCCTAGAGTAATTCCTCACGGCTTGTAATAACATTTTGGATTCACCATTTCATTGTAGGGATGTTGCTCGTACCATCCGCAATTCCTACTATTGTCGGATAATTAGCACTGATAGCCATAGTTGGTTCACTTCAGCGCCCTAAATAATAATTCTCAAGTAATTATGGACCTTTATGTCTCCGCAGATTTCGTACGGCCAAAATAGTGCTGCTAACTTACATGATTTTACAGGACGGTTTTATATGCTTAGTTTGTTGTAGCTTAAGGTAGTACCTCTGGTAACTTATCTTATTTATCCCTCTCGCACTAACGTTCTTGTTTATGAGTTCCTAATTCCTCCCGTTTTTCTCAGTTCAAAGTGTTTTATATTGGTGTGTTGCTACTCCTAATTTTCAGTCACTTATCTTCTACAGCTCTCAGTAGTTACGTTTATTTTCATGTGACTAAATGTCTTTTTAGATTTATGTAACCAAATCAGTGGTTATGTCCTACTTGAATAAGTTAGATTCCGATCCTTTTTTAGACGCCCCATTCCGCGGAGACGAAGTATTTCTCCACGTGGACGCTATTCTCGTTCAAGGTCTCGATCGCGTAGCTATGATCGTAAGTAGCGCTGCATTTTAATCTGCTGTTTTCCTCCAGGGCGTTACTAAACAATGACAACGTTTGTGTTAACCCCACTTTACTGAGGTGCATTTTTGCTTCAGTGTACAACTGTTTCACTTACTGTCTGTAATACGAATCCCTCATCCGTTTAATAACATGTGCTGCGAAATAAACACATAGTCAAGCATTATGATCCATTTTGTCTTTCTTTTACAGTTGTGTGAATGTCAAATAAGAAAATAGAATACACTTGTTAAGAACTTGTAAAGAAGAGTAATGAATACAAAGAACTGACATGAAATAAACTTGAAGTTAACTTATGTGGACAATGAATGCGAATTGTGAAAGAAGTACTGAGAATATTGTTGAGCTCAATCGCCATATATGAATCCAGTCTCCTTATCACTGGGAATGATTTAGGTGGTTCGCTGCAGCCAAGTGTCAGACTCAGAAATCTTGTTTCCATCTCGGAAGCTGCATTTTACCCTAACGTTTCCGTCATTTACGTAGAATGAGGCTGTTTTGAATTCCTGTGGGAAGAAGTATCGTAAGATGATTTCGATCACCGTATCTTATGAACGCTGTGATTCGTCCTGAAAGGGCTAGTGTCAGTGCCTAAGTCCATGCTGTCTGAATTGACCGGCAATTCCTTACCAACGAAAACACTGAATATTCAGTTTCTGAATTCTCGGAGCTGAAATTGCTTAAGTCAAACGTTTTTCGCGAACCGAAATTCATACGCTTAAGACGGTCTTCAAATATATCGCGAACTAATTGAAAAATCCGTCTACCGATTATTACGGAACCTGAACCGATATATCGTAAGTTTATCAGTTTATTATTTTTAGCTATTCGAGATGCGCAACTAAGGCAGTCGCGAGTTTTTGAATTATGAGTATTATGCATGCAATAAAAAGGCGGTGCTTTTGTAACCAGTAACTTGTCATTTTTCAAACATGCGATGTTATACAAAGCAATTATGCACTTAAGGATTTACAAATGTAATAAATATGTATCGAGTTCCTTGAGTTGTTGGCAAGCCTTCATGCAGATGTGTAACTCTCCCTGGACTCACCACCGCCCAACCGATCCGCGTGTCAATGATTGAACAGTTGTAGCGGTTGAAACGAACGCCTCCTCCCTGTTAATGTAAGAAAGAAGCGTTAAGTATGCCGTCCATATTAACCTTTGAATTGATGTTAAGTAATTACCTGGTAATCTCGTCCGGGCTGATTCAATCCTATATTGAGCGTATATGAAGAAGCGTCATGATGCGGTCTCAGCGAGGGCTGTTCATCTGGTTTGTATCTGACAACGAAGTTCATTCGTGCCCTTGGCTAAATGTATTTACAAGAAAAATTAGTGGCTCAGTTGTACAAATAAGTTCACCTATGAAACATTTGACGCTGAAAACTCACCTTATCTTCATATCCCTCAAACAGCTTCTTCTGCATTGGATATACATATTTTCCCAAAACATATTGCCAGTGTTCCTCCCAGTCGATTTGGCGCATATGAATGTCGCGAGTAGGTACATTTTCATAGCCTCCTTCAAGTCGTGGGTCATAGTTATCTCCGTTTGACCACTGTCCAAAGTTCTCCACCTCTTCAATAAGCTGCTTACAGAAAAGTTCTGTTAACAGAGGGAACCAAAATACGTCGGGACATGGTTGCTCAATGTCTGCCATTGTAACTTCAGGTTTTACGGAGTTGAAGTAAAGTGGGTGTATATACTGTTCTTCCCAATCCTGTTTAATAAAGATTAAGAATAAATCGCAAGGTCAGCTTGCATCTCCGTTTTAGAACTTCTTACTTCCCAATAATGTGCGGAGTGAGGATTTGACTATAATTGCTTTGTTTACGTTCTCTCTGATACTGGTAATGTTTGCACACCCATACATTCTAATAACTTTGCTTAGGTGGAACAGTGCAAAATTTTTTGTGAGTATTATTTTTCTTTTGCAGATAATCATTTCTGTTATTAGTGAGTCTGTTGCTCCTGAGACTACCTATAAACTTTGTGTACAAATACTAAATAATTCACAAGCCAGTATCAGTATACTTCATGAAGATTAACACCAACTAGTGTCCTTTGACATTTTCATTTCAATTTACAAAAATCGTATGCTTATCAGATCCGAGTACTTTTTTTCCTGTGAATATATTTATTTACTCTCCTCTTGTGTTCTTTCTTCACTCAGTTTTTTGTTAAATTAACAGTGCCGATGTATCAGTATCACAGCTACACTGTGAAGCAGCTATGGTCTGCATGTGGGTAACAAACCTACAGTGACGATTCATGGTAAAATATTGTGGTTTTTATCAAACGTACCTGTGGATTGTCGAATATTTGCCACAAATCATTGTGTAGGTGATTGTATGTATAGTTATCAGCGTTAATCAGATATCCAAATTCCATTTGATTGTCCACGAACATGAAAATATTCTGTAATGAAAAAGTCGAAGAGATAATTATCTCTGTGCACAGTTTGATGTACATAGAGCGTCGTACTAAATGGTGGATATTTTATTGGTTCATTTCTTCTAGAGAGATCTGTTTCAAGGCGTTATTCTTGATGCTAATGGTAATGATGAGTGATTGTTAGTTTTAAAATCCAGGACGCACGTTTCCTCCCACTTAGGATTCGTCAGCTGAATGTACCGTTCCTTCCCAACTACGTTGCTCTGCACCTATCTCTCGAACCCTTCACTTCAAACAGTAGTCATTGTTCGTGTGGTAAGTATAATTGATGTATTGCTTCATTCATTATGGTTAGTTGTGCGCACATCTGTCACCTTATTACAAACCTATTGTGTTACCCTGGGTCTTAATGCAGCTAATTAAGACTACCTACTGTCTTTTCTTTGTTTGCGCTAAATTCATTTGATGTGTACTGAAATGTCAATCTAGTTCCGTCCTACTTGTGTGAAGCTGTGTATCTGCAAGTTGGTGGCTCGACTTCCAACCTATATTTGTGCATCTTCAGATTTTACATATTGGGTGTAGAACGTGGTTGCTATGAATGCATTTCGTTTCGTATATATACCAATCGGGTAAACGATTGCAATTTTGCCGACATAATCTTCGGACAATGAATACCAATGTCTATTGAATGCGTTCTCCGTAGTCATGGTTAAATATTTATTGCCGAGTTCGAACTTGGTGAATGTATTTTTTAAAGTATTCATAGTGTCTGTACTTTGCAGTCGGTGTATGACCATGAGAACACTGAAGCGAAAAGTACCCTGTTCGTCTGTTGTGTCAATGTTGTATCTGAAAGAGTTAGCTACAGGGTCCACACAACTTGGAGTAGAGCTTTCCAACCCTATATTGTGCGAAGTTTGAATAAGAAACTGAAATGTAATAATTGTCGGAAACCTTATTTATGTGTAAATACAGTGTTCGGAACTCACTTTATCTCTTGCTTCTTTAGCGAAATTCATGTCGATTTCGTCCCCAAGTTTTGTATCCACCAGCTTGCGTACGGCCCAACGTGAGATCAGATAGGCACTTCGAACTAGAGGTACATTCCAGATCCCACTGAAAGTTATCAGGTAATTGATTAGTGTGGATTTTAGTAAGCCAGTACAGTGAATCTTGTTGTTTATATTTCACTTACCTCATGTTGTAGCTGATTATATCCATGTAATCTTCAGACCTTGCATAAAACCCGTCACTGCCCAGTGCCCCCCAAAAGTTTGACCATGCTTTTCCTCTTCTGGTTAGTAAAGGTGCAATTATTGAGCGGTTCATTTGAACCAAATGATTCAGTGTCTTCGAGTTAGTTAGCTGAGCGATACTGTCCACTGCGAGCACGTACTTACAGTCTTCAATTGACAAACAGTATGCACTAAAAATCAAAACATCGGTAACTGGTAAAAATGATTATAGTGCTTACAGTACTCTTTTCCGTGCCATCTCTTCATTCAATTCTTCATCAAGCCAATTTACAGATAGATATTCGTGTCCGAAAGTTTCATTGAAAGCTTCAACAAACGAGAATTGTGAATTTGCAGTTTTCTAAGAAAAAAAAGCACGAGTCAGCCTACTGCATGTTTACCAGTTATGAATCCAAAGAATTTTTAATCGACTTAGTAAACCCAAACGAACATCACTGTATGTTGGTGAAGTGATACTGGTGCTTAACCACCTATCATAATGCTTTATAAAGGTGGAGTCGAATTCGGATGATAAAGCATAGTACTATCGATAAAGTCTTTGACGTTTAGTATAAGGCAGTATCGGCTTCTTACTTTAATCAGCCTGTCAATACCTACATCAGACTGCGTAATACTGCATGACGTTCCATACTGGCGTGTAGATAAAGGTGAGCGATTGGGAAAAAAGGGATTTCCATCGAAATTCTTATCAAGACAAAAATGTAGATGATATGGCTACTATCAGTGGATTGATTTTCACCTGGGTTTCCTCAGACGACTCGAGCTAACCACCGTGGTCTAGTTCTGTTTCGGTCTGACCCTTCACTAGTGTAATCCAACTTCTTACATTTCTCGATGTTGCAGATGGTGACTATTCATGTAAGTCAACAGTGGTTGGCAACCTAGTCAACTCAATTTGGCCTGGATCTCTTCTCACTTCTACGTAACGGCGTAGTAGGACCATGACATGGCTTGTGCGTTTGAGGTCTCATACGCACTACGTTCAATGTCCATGCATCATAACTTTATAGTAGAACTACTGCAGTACACAAGGCACCAAAAAAGACTGTCTACAGTGTTTTTACAGCAGACTGGAAATTGCCCCGGGTTTTTCCGCATAGGTGAGGTCCTGCTGTCCATTCAGGCGCAGACACGTAACCGTCGTCCAAGTACGTGCTTAAGGGAAGGAGCGCCAGGCTCACAGCGATGACTGATAGCATTATGGTCTGGGTATAGTTTGGTAGGTGATACATCACCCGACCAAAGACTGCTACCTTAATGTGGCGATCAGGTTTGTGTTTCACAATGACTCGACGAGCTACACTGGTTGGGACGCTTGTTTCCTCGAGATCCTACCATACCAGAAAGGTCTGTTAGGTTGTGGTTAGACAACTAGCAGTTACCATTATGCTATGATGGGTGTCTGAGGGCGAAGCCGTACGACTAACTAGACGAGGGTGTGACAGCCGTTGGGTGTTTCCTTCGGATGAACGGCGGTGCTACGTTTATGCTGTCTTCCTAACGGGAAAGAGGTGAGGGTTAGAAATGGTAGACCCTAAAAATAGCAAACCCTCTACCCACGTTCTTCCAGTGTAGGTGTTACAACAACCAGAACTCAAAATAACAATTCGTGAAAGGCTGTGTGACAGTCGTTCCACAGTGTGAACAGCTGGGAAGTGTCAGCGCAACGTACGCAGTCATCTTGTGCACATCCATGCGTTAGTCAAAGAGCCACACCTATTGTGTGAGGGTGAGTGGTATTACCTGACTGTCTAGACCTCGTTAGGTGGAGTGGGGCTCGAACCGACCACCCAGTGGTTGATCATCCTTTCCATAAGCCACAAGGTAGTACCAATCAACCACATGTTTCCAGTAGTACACTAGACCCAGTCAAACGCAACCTATCCTCTTCCACTCTTCTTCTTTGCCTTCACCTCGTGATACTAATATTAAACCCCTTGGGCCTTACCCAACCTCTTATTCTGTGACCTTTGCTAACGATCGAAATCTCATTCCTAGTCTCCTAAGACTCGACCATTTATTTCATGTAGGGGCTTTCAAGGTGCGACGTCTGTGCCAAGTCGGACAGCAAGTGCCGCCCACCAGAACTCTGCAGTCTCTAGCCGTAGGTGTATGCTGTTTCTGAGACACTTATACGCAACCCTAGTGTGGTTATAAAATTAACCTTACGAGTATCCGAAGACCCAGTGGCTAGCTCTCGTGGACTAACATGCCTAGGCATTAAATTGAATGGTAGAGTAGGAAATGCACTTCTCACTGGATGCCAGTCGAAAGACGTTTGTGTGCTATTCAAAGGTGTAGATCTGTTAGAACTAGGAAGGACCGTGAGACAAGGTAATGCCTATTCTTAATCTTTACCTACCGGATGCAGTGAGGCTTCCTATTGAAAGCTGTCATTTTTGCTGCAGAAAGCAAAACGTGTAGTTGCAGTCGTAATGGCAGGTGACTTCAACGCTGTAGTAGGGAAGCTGAGCCAATGGGAAAAGCATCTTGGAGCTATTCACGAAATCCCGTACCGACAACGGTTGTCGTCTTGCAATTTGTTTCGCCAACGTTAATTCCTGAGCAGCACTAAACATAGGCATAGGGAGAGTGTATGTTGACGTCAAACCAACGGTGGACCCAGATGTATGATGTTGCATTTGGTCATCTTTGGAGAGTTTCGGTGAATGGTTCCCGCTGTTTCTGGAGTGTAATTTCGCGCTCCGATCGCACTCTGGTTTGGGTTCGTGTATATCTTAATTTTACTTGTGGCACTAAACATGCGGTGGTAAAGCCTGTCTTTGCTTGATTGGAAGACGCCAAGTACACATTTAGAGAGGAAATATCCGGACGTGAAAGCAAGGCTCATCCTGAAGAAACCTGACGTGATATTAGGTCTACTGTCGAAACAGCGTTGAAGACAATTGTCAACTTACACCCTTAAGGTTAGCAAACGTCATGCGATTTCCGTGATGTCATCCGAACTGGTCGATGCGAGGAAATTGATTCCAGCGAGCTGTTACCACTATAAAGAGTTTAAGCAATTTGAACTTCAGTTGGCCAAGTCGATCGCAAGCAGTGGTGAGTGACGAAAGCGAGAGAGGTGACAAAGACATCGGAATTGGGTAACACTCGGTAACCATTTAGGCTTATTAAGGATACATATGAGAAAAAGAAGACGGTGAGTGAAACCATCACCTGAAAACGATGGTACCCTGATAATCCAGGATATGAGGCTATAACGTAGGGTGGGACATTTTGGAGCACAATTCAACTGGTTCTCAGCAAAGCTTCAGTTGTCCTGCTCCCATCCTGAAGCTGAATGGCATGTAGATGTTGGTCCTCCAACTCATCTTGAAGTTGAGAAAGCTGTTTCACACCAAAAACGTTACAAAGTACCAGGAGCTGACAGTTTGCCACTAGAAGCTTCTAACGATGTAGGTAGGGAATTGACGATTCAAGTGACGGAGGTACTAGATAGTGTATGCGAAACAAGGGTAATGCCGTCAGATTGGTTTACTTCAATGGTCATGCCAGTCTATAAGAAGGGAGAAATATATTCCTGTGACAACCATAGGGGAATTAGTCTGACTGATATCGTGATCAAGATCCTTGGGTCCATCGTTATCTGACGCCAAACTGGAGATCGAAAAAACAAGGCAGGTTTCAAATATGGATGGAAGTGCGTTGGTTGAGGTCAGGCGAAGTGTATTAGACAAGTCGATTGGTGAGATTGTGAACCTTCATCGGTTTAGAGATGTGTTGCGCCTGCCAAATCAGCGCCTACCTCGACGTTCCATGATAGGAGAAGTGGGATTAGGTTGGAAGCGGGATCAGAGTGACAGTACTGAGATGTAGAACCATTCCCTGAAGTCTCTAACTGTTGGTCTGAGCCGTGTTGTGAGATGTAGACTGCCTGGCTGGAATCCTCTAGACGATAGAAGTCAGTGGTTGAGAACTCTTGCTGAAATGAATGTAATTCTGTGACATTGAAGCAGGTGTTTTCATTATTTAAATTTTTCTGAAGTTTGAATATTTTGTCTAATTTTAAAATTATCTATCCTCCCATGTACTTTTGTATACTATTGTAAAGTGTGGCAATGAGGTTCTACTTTAATTTTGTCTGTTTGACACTTCTCTCTGCGCTGTAGCCTTCCAGTACTAGCATTATAGGTTTGCAACAACCAAACTTAAACGCTAACTTCCACAAAGGCTGTGTGTCCTGCCTCGAGTAGATATTCTTGGTTCTGTTGTCGTGCACCACTATTTAATAATTCAATTTTCCTCGGGTTACCTATAAGGGACATATTTTTCCACGAAATGGGTTGCCAGTATATATCAGTTTCCCTCATGATTCTGTCAGCAAAGTATAAATGGATAGAAAATGTATGATTCCAAAGTACATAAAAGCGTATTGGCGGGGAGAAATGGAGATTAGTAGAAATGTTCAAAGTTTAGAAGAAGTTAGAGAGAGACTACAACTGCGCCATTGGGACCGTTTTTCAACTTACTAACTTAGGTTTTTGAATCTCCCCTGTTGTCTCACTAACCATAGTCAGGCATGCTGCACTTTCCTACATGGGTGAAACTGACAATCAGTGGCGTAACAGACTGGTGCCACATCTTGGCGTCAAAATCCTTATACTTCTTCCAATCCAAATTTACTTCGCTTAACAGTGTAATTCAGGGTAGGAGGCGGCGGCTTTTTATGCGCAAGAAATATCGCAGCTGTCTTAGTCGGTAATGGTGCTCGGCGTTATAGTTTGACTTGCCTTCCTAGCTGAGTACTCTTCTGACCTTGGAATAACTTACACAATGAATCCGCAATACGTAGGCTATTGTGAGAGAACAAAAATCTGTAATGTCTTCACATACGCTTTAAGCATCCGTGTCTTAGCTGCACTCAAGGTCAGAGCGAAATGCAACGCAGTGTGTCGGTCCTTTGGAAAGCATTCAGATATCTCGCTGACACGAGAGATAGTGGTGAGCTGAAGATTCCCAAATTACACCTTTTGAACCTGAACTGAGATTTCGCCAGCAACCACCCTATTTGGGCTGATGCAAATTCTCAAGTTGGTGAAGGATTTGATACATTCTACCACTTCACTCCTTATCCTTAAACTAGGATTAGCTGCAGACCGTCGATCTTCAGGCATCATTTTACACTTGACAGGTGCAAAACGTACTTCATTTGTGCTAAGATTTCCGCTCACGGTGTTCGGAATACTCTACCCTTCACCTTACAAGACGATTTCGTCCATGTAGTCGAAGTCAGCCACATCCCCTTTAGGGAGTAGATCAATTCATGTGAAGTCAGAAGTGCCTTGCTTATGTCCATTAGTTCATCCATAACAGAGTTAAATAGAGACGGTGACTGCATGCAAGGGGGACAACTGGATTGTCTTTACTTCCGATGATAACTCATCACGAACTCTTAGACGACTGTGTGAGTTCAAGTAGAGATATTTTTCTCCCGTTATGTACTAGATATGCCTTTCGCATTGACAGAGCCAGAACAACCCGGTCTATAGAGTAGAGTGCTATCTTCAAGTCAGAAAGTAAGGCAAATGTTGGGCAAAATTAAGTAGCCCTGTGTCCTAGAACTTATCAAAGGTTGAAGACCCGATTGATGGTTTTTTGTCCAGGCCTGAAACTAGCCTAGTTCTGTTGAGTTTATCATTCTTGAGCTCTACTTGGGTGTCGTTTAGCTAGGGCCGTTGAATCCTGGAAATGGGGTTATTATTATTATTAGTCCCTTGGGTTCCTCCTAGTGGAACATAGGGCTTCAGTAGCACGCCTCCAGTGACCTCTGTTCTCTGAGATCTTTTGAACCTGGTTCCACGACAGCCCAGAAGCTCTCATTTCCTGCTCGCACGACCTCCTCCATGTCACCCTCGGACGTCCAACTCGTCGCTTCCCATGGGGATTCCACTCGAGGGCCTGACGCGTGATGTCCTCAGTCGGCCTTCTCAGTGCATGGCCAATCCATCTCCACTTCTTCCTGCATATTTGTTGCGTGATAGGTTCTTGGTTGGTTCGTTCCCAGAGTTCCTTGTTGCTTATTTTTTCTGGCCATCTGATCTTCAGCAGCGAGCGTAAGCAGTTGTTGATGAATGTCTGTAGTTTATTGGAAATACCTTTCGTGACGCGCCAAGTCTCTGAGCCATACAAGAGCACTGACTTGACGTTGGTGTTGAAAATCCGTATCTTGTTCCGCATGCTGAGTGCAGAAGATCTCCACACTGGTTTCAGGCTAATGAACGCCTGTCTTGCTTTTCCGATTCTGACTTTGACGTCCTCGTCCGTCCCGCCTGTAGTTGAAACAGTGCTTCCTAGATAAGTGAAGGAGGTTACTTCCTTCAAGTTTCTCCCGTTGACGGTGATTGGAGTTTGTTGTTGTTGTTGTTGATGGTGGTGGTGCGGTATCTTCATCACTTCTGTCTTCTCTATATTCACCTGAAGTCCCGTCTTCGCTGCCTCTTCTATCAACTTGTTAGTTTTTGCCTGCAGATCTTCAAGTTTATGTGACATTAGGCATAAGTCATCGGCGAAATCCAAGTCTTCTAGGTTCTTTTCCGTCGTCCAGTGTATCCCCCTCTTCTCGCTGCCTACTGTTTGCTGCATGATCCAGTCCACCACAATAAGGAATATCATGGGGGATAGTAGGCAACCTTGTTTCACTCCTGTCTTCACTTCAAAGGCATCACTGAGCTTCCCATTGTGGATTACTTGGCATGTGGCATCTTCATATAGTTGTTGAATGAGGCGGATAAAGGTTTGCGGTACTCCGTAGTATTGAAGCAGTTTCCAAATTACTTCTCGGTCGACGCTGTCAAAGGCCTTCTCAAAGTCGATGAAGTTGAGGTGGAGAGGTGATTGCCATTCTATGCTCTGTTCTATGATGATACGAAGCGTTGCAATTTGGTCTGCACATGATTTGTACTTCCTGAAGCCTGCCTGTTCCGGTCGTAGTTTTGAATCCAGTGCATCCCTTAGCCTCTCCAGGATGATGCGGCTTAATATTTTACTTGGGGTGGACAGGAGAGTGATTCCGCGCCAGTTCTTGCAAGCACTGAGGTCTCCCTTCTTCGGCAGTTTGACAAGGTAACCCTTCTTCCAATCGTCAGGTACCTTCTCTTCCTTCCACACCTTCTGCAATAGTGGTGTGAGCATGTCCGCTGTTGTCTCTGCATCTGTTTTCAGTGCTTCTGGCGGTATTCCATCTGGTCCTGCTGCTTTCCCGCATTTCAGTAGCTTTATGGCGTTCAGGACTTCCATTTTCGTTGGGGGATTAATGTTCACTTGTAGTTCAGCGGCTGCAGGTGGTATTTCTGGACGAAGTGCAGGTGGTGGTCGATTCAAGAGCTTCTTGAAGTGGTCGGCCCATCGTTTCCTCTGTTTCTCTTCTTTTGTAATTAAATTTCCTTCTTCATCTTTTATTGGTTTCATCTGTGTTGGTCTCTTCCCTGATAGCAACCTGGTTATTTGATACAATGTCGTCAGGTCTCTCTTACCTGCAGCCTGTTCTGCTTCACTTGCCAGTGTTTCGTAGAAGTGTCTTTTGTCTTTGCGTGCACTCTTCTTCACTTCTTTGTCCAGTGTTTTATACATTGTGCTCAGTTCCTCTTGTCGTTGAGCATCCTTGCACTGGTTTATCTTCTGCTTCACCATCCTCCTCTCCTCTATCAGCTTCCAGGTATCCGTCGAGATCCATTCCTTGTCTTCTTTCTTCTTCCTTCCTAATACTGTTGTGCAGGTTTCTTTCCACATAGCTTTCAAAGACTTCCAGTGTTCTTCCACACAGGTTTCTTCAGGGATGTCCCTCGATGTCTCCCATTTTGTCTTGATGGCTGCCTTGAAGATCTCCTTTGTAGTTTCATCCTTCAGTTTCCGAGTGTTGTACTTGGGTTGAGGTCTATCACCAGCTTCCTTGAAGGCTTTTAACTTGATTTGGAAGGTTCCTTGCACTAGAGTGAGTGGTGTGAACCTACATCTGCTCCTCTTCTTGACCTTGTGTTAAGTAGACTGCGTCTCCATTTTCTTGAGATTGAGATAAAGTCGATTTGATTTTTAGTGTGTCCATCTGGTGAAATCCATGTCGCTTTGTGGATATCTTTGTGCCTGAACACACTGCCTCCAATCACCAAATCGTTGAATGCGCAGAATTCTGCAAACAATTCTCCATTCTCATTCATTTCACCTAGTGCCTCTCGACCCATGGTTAGTTCTCTTCCCGTGTTGTCCCCTCCCAGTTTGGCATTCATGTCGCCCATCAGAATTTTGATATCGCCAACTGACGTCTTGTCCAGTGTTGATTGAAGTTGTCTGTAGAAATCCTCCTTTTTCTCTTGCTCTGCATTATTTGTAGGTGCATAACATTGTATGATTGTGACCTTTCTTCCTTTTGAGTTGAATCTTGCTGTCATGATCCTGGAGGAGATTGGTTCCCACTGCATGAGAGCCTTCGATGCTCTTGGAGACATCATGATAGCCACTCCAACTCAGTGTGCTCGTGGTTGGCGTCTGGGTGACAATATCGGAGTAGATTATTGATTCTCCAGTTGACAGTTTGGAGAGTCCACTCCCATTCCATCTGCTTTCGCAAATCCCAAGCACTTCGATGTTATACCTTCTCATCTCCCTTGCAATCTGGGCTGCCTTACTGGGTTCAAACATCGTGCGGACATTCCATGTCCCCACGTTTACTTTCGCTTTCATCGAGAGAAGACACATCGGCCAATTGGCTTCCCGAAGGCTTTCACCAACTGGCGTCATTTCGCCTCTCCGATTCCAGCGGGGAATAAGTTTGTTTTCATTTTTTATATTTTGTTTGTGCTTTGAAGTTTCTTTAGCGGTTAGATTTGTTTTACGGGGTAGGGTTGCTAGCCCTATGCCCAACCTTCCCTCTTTACCCGGGCTTAGGACCGGCTAGTAACTAGTAAACTAGTTAACCAGGCGAGGTTGGAAATGGTGTTAACTAGACTGATATTTATCACAAGAAGACTTTCCTTCTAGATTGGAATGATCAGTGAAGTAGATCAGTCTGATGGCACTACTTCTAATTTTCATGCACTACGTAATGCACTCACTAGTCTACTCAGTAGTTTTCTACCTCCATTTTTGAAGACTTTCGGGGGCGAACCATCTTGTTCTGTTGGTTTGCATCGTTTCAGGTTTGAAACAGCCTCCTCAACTTTCATGTCCCATTTAAATTTGAACTAGATTTTAGGTAACTGAGGCGTTGTTGTGGACAAGATGAACTGTTCTTTGAAGTGTTTCGATCAATATTGTGGTCATCTGTCCTGAGACGTTATCAGAAACCCATCCTTTTTAGTAGTAGTTCCTCTAACAGTTGTTACCCTCCTCCCAGGGTTCTTTATAAGCTTAATGGTTTTTGAATAATGCTGATGTCTTCTCCGTTTGTTTCACTTGCATAACCTGCCGTTTCTGTCGATCAGTGTGAGGGTTATTAGTTATTTTACGTTTTAGCTGCTTTTGTTCCTCAATGTGGTCAGAGTCAGGTGAAATAAGTTTGCGTGAGGTTGTGGAAGAGAGGATAATTAATTAGTTGTGTTTTACATACTGTTGGAAGCATGCCTTCACTTCCATAGAACCAGCACTAGGCCTCTCAAAACTTCCTCACTGTGAGATCATTACTAAAGTTCTAACGCAGCCAAACACTAATTCTAATCTCCTAAAATCATGCTGCCATTTTCACATTGGAGCTGTCAGCACCTAAAAGCTATGCTGAATGAGATCTAACTTTCCTAAATTCTGGTATCTCCAGTCACGGAGGTACTCTATGTTTCTGAGACACGCATACAAGACTAAAGTGTAGTTATTTACTCGATTTCACCTGGCTAATGTCGTGAATTTGTAAAGCCCATTTTCCGCGATTCAGTGGTTATTTGCTGATTTATCGCTAGTGTTGGAATAGGATTAAGTTGTCGAGCAGCGACTGTATTTCTCAATCAGATATAGCTAGCAGCTTTGTTCGGATCCCCAATACTTAGGAAAAACCGTAGTATTTTGCCAACACGTATTCGTAGTTTGAGACTTCGCTGTTACCGACCGCAGCTTAGGATGATACGAAGGATGAGTTCCACCGAAAGCTATCTGTCTCACTTCATGAAGCAAGATGTTTAGATGTAGTCTTCTTCTCGAGTGACTTCACTGTTTAATTGCGGAAACCAGAAAGGCTTTTTGGTTGCATCTACAGAATACTACGAAGCTTAAGTAGGAATATGGTGAAAAGACTTTAAATATGGTCAGACGTAGAAGTGGCACCAGTTCATGAGGTCTCTGATTGTTGGCCACAGCTTTTCAGGCTACTTGGATGGGGTATATGAAGGGCATGGATCAATGATTGAAAACTTTGTAATACAGTTTGAAAACGGTCACAATGGGACACACATGCACACTCCGTTTTTTTCTTTATATTTAATGTTATCATCAACCCCATCTGTTTATTCTTTATTCGCATGTATACTCTTTTCTACTTTGATACCATTCCCTTCTCTGTCCACTTCTTTGAATGGAGGTATGAAATTTGACATAGCTGGTTTACTTTTGTTTCAGATTCTGTATTGGCATATCTGGGGGGTCAACTTAGACCATCAGGTCCTTCTTTGATACTAACCAATTAAATAATATCGTTTTATTCTGGTTCTCTTAATGGTTCAACTAATTGGCAAGGAATATCCTGATATAGCTTGTACATATGGATCTGGGGACACGATGACTTCAAGAGAGATGTCCGAAGAATCCCTTATGTACTTAGGGTTTTCTGATTATTTAACCACCAAGAAATTGCGAGCTTTTGCATGAAACCACTGTTCACTTTAGGGGATTCCCCTGGTGTTAATATATCGTTTGTCATTAATATAGGATAAGTCAATGAAGGTATATGCAGAAGTTTCTACTTCTAAACTGTGATTAGCTTTAGTGAACGCGTGTGTTTCTGTGGACTTACTTGTGATTGATGCGAAGGTAACACTAGATATTCATTAGGCATTCTGAACAACAAAGTAGTCATTTATTTCTTTTAACTTACCGCCATATGACCAACTATATGAATTCTTGACTTTGGATAAGATAAGGCTCCTAGTCGATGAAAGAACTGTCCTATGAATGGTGTTGTATATTCAACAAAAATCCCCAAAACGATCAGTGGATATTCCTTTTATTGCAAGAAAGCAGATTAAAAATAATTCTGATATTTAGAATACTTTCGAATTTCAATTGTGAAGTTAATGCTGTGAAGAGTAAGTTAAAAACTTTATCTCGATCTGACTGTCCACCGGTTTTGAACTAATTGACAAAACTTTACACTCATACTTAGGAGACTACGCTGACTTACTTGATTTATTACCTTAATAAAACAGGTATTACTTGATGTCTAGTTAGAATAAACACTTAACTTTGCTGAAGGTAGTTTTTATCGCTACCGAAAATCATCTGAATAATTTTTGAAAGCAAGTTAGCGTATTGATATCTTTTTTGCACTGATGGTGTCGGATATCTTGGTATGCAGGCTTTATGTAGCATGACTGATATTAATGGTCATTATTATGTTCAAATGTTGTCTGAAATAAGTGATTTACAGCGTAATTTTAATTATTCTCTCTCTCTCCCTCCCTCTCTCTCTCTTTCCCCACTTAATCCAGATTACCACATTAGGTTTGTGATTCCGTTCTTTTCGGTAATATCCTGATAAAATTTGTTGTTTCCCTTCAAGATTTTCCTGGTGTGTTTGTCAACATGAAATGAATAGCATGTACTAGGCTGTCAATCACACTTGCTGTGTAAGAGCTTTTGATATTACCAAGTTATCGAGGTCGAAGTAGATGTGATGGGGTTCGAACTTCAGTCTCTCAGCTCACACAAAATTAGCAAGTGTTATCACGGTCATTGCTCTGGAGGTCTTACTGTCTTCTTTCGCCCCACTTGAATGAGTAGATCTCTGTTTGGGAATGTCGTAATTATCATTTCAGATGGGATTTTCAAGTCACAACTGGTGTCTAACAACTTAAAATCACAACCTTTACCCGTTGGTGTGTATGAAAGCGAAAACACAGATGACGCTTACGATCTGATCTTTCGAGTTATTTGCGGTGTACTTATGGAAATTACTCTTCAGTTTTGCTACTCGTGCTTGTTTGTCTTTTGAGAGAACCAATTTATTCCTTACTATTGTTATTATTTTGTGGTGATCTTTGTTGTGTTCGAAATTGATGAAACAGATCATTTCTGAACTCAATTTCCTCAGTATTTAAGCTTCTTTCTCTTTCAAGTTTAGGGAACTCATTTTGTTTCTACTTTGAAAAAATACCTCTCAAAGTAGGAAATCCAAGTTTCGAATTTTTTATACTCGGTGGTAGTGGCTTTTAGCAGAATGAGTACCACGGATCTATTGGTGACCGCCTTGGTGCTCTGTCGAGCGAGCTATAAGATCATGCAGATATTTTTGGGTGTAGTTTTAGCTTAAATTAGGGATTTATTGTTACAACTAAGTGTAGGTGAAATTTATCATGCAATATTCATGGGGATATCAAGATCACGACTTTTTTTTACCAATAAACTGTCCTGGATGCGAATTCCAATCTGTTTGTGTAGCCGATTCTCGAAATATATAAACATGACAATGAGTATTTTATGATGTGATTGCGAAATGCACAAGCCAAGTATGACTTTGCAGTTTGCCACAAAGTGTGGATCTGGTTCATGTCTCAAAAATGAAGATATTGACTTAGAAAACCTGTACGACATCGCCATTCAAATAAAACTGAACTCTCCGTCAACAGCCTTTGTCGCAATCAGAATTGTGAATACAAATTCATAGTAGTTTGGTGTAGAAATAAGAAGTACGAGAGGCTCAGTTGTTTGTTTCGGTGGCTAAAGCCACCAACATAAGTTCCTCCCATATACGATGAAATGAAACGACGCTTTATTACTAGCTCTCCAAGTGTATTGAATTTGTCCTACTCTTTGTAAGGAATCGGATCTGACTTCAATATATGTTTAAACTTGGTTGAGAAACACGTAGTTATATCTAGTCATCTTGTGACAATAGCTTTTGAATCAGGTTATACATTTTAGCGACTTAAATGGTTTTCCTGCATATAAGTGCAACTGAAACGATACATGATTGACAAAAAACTTTGTGAAATCAGTGTAGACTTAAACAGAATATATGACCAGTGATGGGTAAGTTGTTAATACAGGAATCCAGGACAGACATTTCATCTCATGGAAGACTCGAGAGCTGTATATACCTACCTCTTTGTTAGTGGTGTTGAGATTGCATAAGCAGATATTTCATGCAACAGGATCTTTCAGCTTGTTTAATTGAATTTCGGATTGCTTTCTACTTTCAGAATAAAATATCTGCATTTCTTCAACACTGTGATAATAATCAGACAGAAAAATTCATCTGTTATATATATATATATATATATATATATATATATATATATATATATATATATATATATATATAGGCATGGTCTACACCAGAAAAGATTGTCTTTAACCCTATTTACACATACTACGCTATATTCATGCCGAGAACTTACTGTTTGGTCACTGAGTTCGATATTATTTTCATCACACTGTTGGCATCCTTGTTCGGGAGTCCATGAATACGTAAGATAGTTTGACAGTGAATTGAATTCAACCTAGAAAATATGAACAGTGATTAGAAACTGTGCGGTTACTTTCAAGGATAAATGGACATCACGAAAAATAATTCTAAATATTTATGAATATTTTCTGTACGGACTTGAAATTGTTAGCTATATCAGATACTTAAACTTCAACAATCTACAGACTTGTTATTAGGAAGTAATAATCTAACTTCTGATACTACTTCCACCCCATAGATGCAATTTGTTTTACTTGGTCATAACAGCAATGTTCATAACCGAAACTCAGGACATGAATTTCCTCCTCAGAGCTGAGTTGTCATTTTATGTTTATTTCCACCTACTTTGGAATGCACACAGCACACCACCAAATTCATGACTAATCATCTTCAAAAACCCATACGGACATATATAGAACTAAGTCAGATTGCAATATGAGTGTTCCCTTTCGTGTTTGCAATTTTCTTCCCTTGTATTATATTTATTATGAAAGTCACTACTTTCATTTTTACATCTCTCAAACATATGTAAATTCAAATTACAACGATACAGTCGCCCATCTTATCGCTTCTATTGCAAGAGGAAGATAAGTCTGACACATGTACCCATTGTGCCAAATACGGTAAGACTGCGCAGTTGATAAAAACTTCATGGGAATCAATTATTTTTCCACCAACAAGAAATGTACATCTTGGTTCGAATTTCTTTTTCATTGTTAATGTGCACACGGACCTGAAACTTAATTTGTTTGCTTAAAAACTTAGGGAAGACATTTCAGTCCACTTTCTTTCCACCTACGCCTTTCGCAATTTGTCTAACGCACTAGAAGTGCACACAAGTTATTCATGCTTTGTGGTCAGACCTGGAAAGTGAAAATCGATAGTCACAAAGGAGAATTAATTTCTTCACCTAACATTTAAGTGCTTAGGTTAAAATCTTAAAAAAACAGATGCGAACATATGTACGCGTAAATAATTACGAAAGCATTTGCTGTTAGAAAACCTTGTTTTGCATTACATTCTTTTGGAAATACAAGTACCAAAATAATTCATATCACTTACTCAATGCCCAAGTTTTTTCACATTTTCGGATATCAGCTTGGTTTGGATATCTATAAATATTTCTGGTCAACTCTAAACAAACAGACTATATTCATGAGAAATTGTGTAGATTGCACTAAGAATCCAACCTGGGATTTTAATCCTTACAGCTTAACAAATAGGCATAACACTGTTTAATTTTACATTTATCCTAAGAATAACTAGTATGTGACAGGCTAAAACTGATGTTAAAGAAATTTAGATGGGTATTACACCCAGTGAACGCAGAATTTATACCAGACCATTTTCCACGGTCAACAGTGTAGTTTTACTCACAATTGTCCTCATTATGTCCTGTGTAGAGAAACCACACCTTAGAAACCGAAATGAGACATAACCTAGCAATTTATTGTTGAATTGTCTGGATGCTTATACCCTGAATTCACGAGGTAGTACATCAGATAAATCCAAGTCAATAAGATCTCCCATACTTCATTTGTTTATCTGATATAGCACACGGTGATACAGTATTGCATACTTAGTGTTTCGTGCACTAATTATTGCTCATAATTATATGATATTTGATATGATTATGAGCGATAAACTGCACTCAAACACCATTTCATTAAGAAAATACTGTATCACTATGTACTGTTTAAAGTAAACAAATCTAACATGGAACTTCACTTTGTCACAGTCCCCAAGTTTTACAGTTATAATAATTCAATCTTAAATTTAGCAAAATCTACCTTTATTGGTCCATTACCATGAACAACAACTGGTGTTGTAGTGGAGATTTTATTAAATAAATATCCAGTTTCATCAGTAAAGCGTAATTCAACATCACCTGTAATAAAATAATACTTTTTTGACTGAATAGTTCAACAAATTATGAATGACCTTGAAGGCCAGTGGCTAGGGTGGTCTCTAGAGTCGCTCCAAATTATTATTATAGATGTAATTCTAATATTTGCTGCATACAATTTAAGACATTTGTATAAGTTTTCCCATATCATTTAAAAAAACCTATAGGAACTTAACTGCACGACGTCAATCATCAAAAATGTCCCTCATATAGTTATACTACTTTGAAACTTCAGCTCAAAACATTTGTCGACGTTAAAGTCTACCTTCCTTAGTGATTGCGAAAGCTAAAAGCAATGAAATCCATAGAAGATTTGATATGATAACTGCTACTGATAAGGCCAGCGAATACATTATTTCACTAATGGCTCAGTGAAATTATAAGTATTAATTTCATGAAGAAATCAGATTTTGATTTCTACCATCTCAAGTTTGAAACCTGGCTGAACACATCCAAGAGGCCTCTACTTCCTCACCCAGCACAAATATATGATAGAAAGGATTGTAGTGATAATGCATAAATAGGTTAAAGAAATGCTAGTTAAATACGCAATGAAATTCGACGCATATTCAATTGTTCACAAGCGTTTCACCGTTACTTCGGTACTTGGATTTTATGATTCAATAACTTCTTCGTTCCGTATATCTGAAAAAGGTGTTGAATCATTTCTGGCGTGTTGCATCGTTGTGTGTGGTTGAATGTAAGTCTTTGGCATAGCTTGCCCTAGATTCCTTACGTATATTTCCAGTGTAATCGCACAACATACGGAGCTCAGAAACTTCAAATAGGATTCCTGAAAAAACGGAGATTCGAGTAATACTTGAGTAAAACCAGAAGTGTACTTACAAACAAACTTTTTTGGTGAACTTGGTCCACTGAATTTATTGAAATGGTTGAGGCGAAATGTATACACAGAAGTAGACAATCAGAGTCAATTAGGTCATCATAGCACAAAAACTTTGCAAATCGAAAATAACATTATAAAAAAGCCCAGCTGCTAGCATTCATAAAAATACATACATTTTAGGATGGGACAGAGACAGTGGTAGAATGTTACTTAGCTGGATTCAGAAGAAAATCGATGCCGGAGACACTTTTCTAGGGAATCAGTCCCAAACACATACAGTAGTAACATTTCACTATCTATTCAAAATAAGTGGAAAACTTTGCTACCCTTGAATAAAAGAATAATCGCGAACATAAAGTCATTCAGTAAATAGTACTATTTTACAGTGTGGTATCTCCAATAAATGAACTGATCACCTGCTAACCTAATGTGTTGATTTAAAAACATTTAGACTGCATATGCGCAATCATCATACGGTTGTTTTGCATGAATTTCTTGAATTGTAAACCATGTCTAGAGTAGTTGCATAAATTGTGTGTACTGTGGTATTTATTGATGAATGTCGGGTAACCAATCTTGTCTTCTTAAAAGTACTTGTTTTCATCACTAAGGATAACCACTGGAATATTCGATTGAATTTGTCGTAGATAAATATACTATGAAGATTTACCGAATCGTGCCACCCGATCATATACTAAATCATGTCGTGATTAGCATTTAAATTTTAAAAATAAGTAGTATTAACAGTAGAACTAGCTTTATTCGCATTCCAAGGTAGGATAGTATCTTTTTTATAGTGCAAAAGTCATGGAAGCATAACGACGTTATTCAACTTACTGAATGCTCCATTAAGATTTTGAAAGATTCGTGACGTTTTGTCTAGTTGAATATCATATAGTTCCTACAAGAAAGATTTAAAAAATAATATAGTGTGATTCAAATCTTACACTGTGTGGTGTATTTAATTAACAAGCTAAAATAGAGCCACAACTACCGACATATCAAGTCACAAATAATTGAAGTTGAATACATGACTTTCGTAATCAGATCATTAGGTTTATGGGGGAGGTAGAGGGGATTTATTAATTACAAGCTGGTATTCATCACCGACTGACATCAACTGGAGAACCATAGAAAACCTAGGAGCACTGGACATCTGTATCATCCTTATATGGGATTCCTCAGAAATGAGATTTGTTTTCACAGTAGGTAACGTCTTTTTAATATGATAATCAAATCTTCTGGATAGTCATTCCTAAGAATTATGTTATTATCTCCATTAATAACCTGATCAGCAGTTTATCTCTTTCTCAAATTGTCTTGTTAAAATAACCAAAATTCTTACACCCTCAGGTTCTTTATTGTAGATTGTCTGGAAAGAGTGTACTTGCACATAAAATTGTGTTAACGTCATTATGAAAAACCCTAAATTAAGATACGGGAATTGTCTTTTGAAATGAAAACAGAACTATGAATAACAAAAAACTTACCTAGAAGTTCCAGACTCTATAAGAAAATATTAGAGTATCAATTTTAACATTATCACTTTGTAAGACACCTTGATAAAATAAACAGGATGATGAACCACTAGTTTTATTGATTTTCAATCACGTGGATTATGGTGAGTTTCGTTTGTATGAGAAAAACAGAAGTGCTAATTCATCGGTTTTGTGAATCGCTTATGTTACATTTTTAAGACTTACATTGAACTAATTATATATATATATATATATATATATATATATATATATATATATATATATATATATATATATATATATATATATATAGTAAGTAGTTAGATAACTGATTCATTTCATCCACTTATTGCTGGTGTAAAAATGTGCCACAGCTAAACGAATATCTGCGGAACCGCCTGCACTAGACTACCTAACCGCTACATCTGTTGTATAAAGATTAGTAATATTACCTGGTAAGTTGAACATCAGAAGGTGGGATGTGATTTAAAGCCATATCTTACTAGGTGAAAATACCTTCTCTTATCTCCAGAAATCCCTGCCGAAGTGAGGTAGACAAGTTGGGATGACTTAGTAGTAGGGATTAAAAGGAATTTAAATCAACCGTCACCTACATACTACTTGTAGCTTAGCGTAAGTTCTGTGATCACTATAAGCTAGGCTAAAATTAACAGTAAGTTGTTTATAACTTAAATGGATACATTTTCTAAACTTTCTTTTCTGGTATTTTGGGGTATATTTTACTTCGGAAAAATCTTTTGATAGATTGAAAGGAATGAACACCATTTAAATATTACCCAGAAAGTAGTTATACAAAGGTACTTTTTAAACATTAGTTAAGTAAACCAAATAAAACTAAAGGTGGTATAAATTTTGCAATCTTCAAAATGGCAGTATGATCAATTGTCAGATGCCGAGTTCTCCCACTAAGTTTGTTTCTCAGAAAAGCTACAAATAGTGGCCAATTGTTTCTAAAACTAAATGGCCACAAACAAGGAAAGTAAAATACCATTGCCATTAATAATCACTTAACCAAGTTTATGGTACATTCCAACTCCCATAATAAATGCTATGTTAGTTTGCAGAAATTATTGTTTAAATTAACCGATCGAAACGTTCTTATGTCCTGCAGAAGTCACTATCTCCTTCATTTTACGTATAAACTTATTGAAATAGCTCAGGTTAGTGATGATATCTAAATATCAAGTACTCTGAATATCAATTTCTTTAAAGTCATCTGGGTTCATCGGTTTCCCCAAATATTATAATACTCAGTAAAAAATTCAACCTGGAATAATGACAAGTATTTGAAAGAAAGTTTCACAGGAAGTTTGAAAAGAAGGTATATGTTTTCTCGAATATACAAAAGTAGCATATTAGAAGAATAAGTGATGATATCCCCCAAATTATGTGACTCAGTTTAATGACTAATATATTTATAGTGAGCACTACTTATGTTCCATTCCTTCTTGCAAAAACATCCTTTGATCTGCGTTTTTTTGCAACTAAGTGAACAGATTTTTTTAGTTTCCCTCGTTTTCTGTCAACACCAAGTGATCACTTGCTAATTTTCATTATATTAAATTATAAAGTAGATTCATCTGATTTCTTATAATGAGTAAACATAACAACTACAAGAAATAAGTGATTTGGAAGTTTTAAACCGATTATACTTTGAAGCAGCACATTGAATTAAATTCGGTGAATGCCAACCAAAATTAAGTCAACGTGAAGTCACCCGAAACCACTGCACAAAGTGTAAAGAGAAACTGGGGAATTAAATAACAACACTATCCATAATGAAGGCTTGGAGGTAGTTTCCAAAAGAAGAAGAAATATGAGTGTTCTAGAAATTTTGGAGTAGTTATGCAACACGCCTCTGAACAAAGTGATTAGAACATGGGTCACGTTTCAGTAGAAAGGAGTTGCAAAAGGTATCTATTGATAACCGTTGCTGCTGGCATCAGACACATTTGCAACTCATATGATATAGATGGGGAAATAAGCATTCTAGGAAAGAGTTGGATTTAAAACAGGTATCCACCTCGACTCACAGATGAAACCATCAAGCCGAAACTCATTTTCCGTAACAAAACAGATGCTATGCATGAACCTTGACTTCAAAGGTAATCTCACTGCAGACAACTCGAAGAAAGGGATTTCAAACTCTGCGAAGAGAATGTTCTTCAAAGAAAGTTTGAGAGTAGTGTTGTCTAGTCACTCTTTATTTAGCAATAACCTAAAAGGCAAGATGTCACATCTGGTTATCACTATGTGTGTATATCAATTCACCTGCTGCTGTAGAGCTAAGTATATCAGTTGTTCAATGTGAGTCCCGTCTAAAAGGCTTCAGGAACACTATGCTGTGCGGCTACAAAGAGATAGCAACTAATCTGTAAGAAGTACCAATTACTTGTATCAAAGTGGCGGGAGAGAAAAAACAGATTTTATTTCAGTACTTTGCAGTGGAGCATATCTAAAGACATGTGAAAAGCCATAACCCTTTTGAAACTCAAATTCACCAACTTTATATATTTCGTAGTGACAAGTGCAAATCACTTTTTGGTTCTCGTATCCTTTGGGTTATATGACTGAATTGCTATACGCTGACGAAACTCAAGGGTTATGTACAATTTAAGCGCCAATACGGAATGCATCTTGGTTTGTTAAAAAGGAATCTTCAGTCTTGTACAAGAGGAATAATACACTGCAGAACCCTTTTATGATCTCAAGTATTCTCTTACACATTTTACGGATATAGCAGAATATGACCAAACCGAATAAATGCTATTTACTAGATATAACCTCTTTCTTACTTGTACATTCCTTACTAGTGGTTGATTACTGAGGAAAAATTTTTTTAGTTCTGTTGCGTTCAATAAATATGGTGAACAACAGGGGGTATTATACTAGAATATTTCTGTTCTTTAGTTTATAACTTGGAATACATTTTTGGCGATTTATTTAAGAACAGGCGTAGATTAACACTGAACCTGACATTATCGAGTAACCTTCCAAGTCGGTTTACCATACCAACCCGTCAAAATAGATAGCAAAAAAATGAATGACAAAGAAATGAAGATCATATTAACAGTATTCATATAAACAACGGGGAAATAAGTTGAACAAGTTTATCGAGTATTTTTATTAAATGAAGACGTCATCAATATATCTACTCCATGACGATACATTTTGAACCAGAGTCACCAATAGTATTTTGTTTGAGTTGTGAACCCCAGCGAGAAAACCTAATTTTTCCTATACGGCTTAGACTGACAGTGAGGTAGTTAATGTAATGGTGAGATGAACTGTTTTGTCCTTGACTAGATCTCTTCCAGAACAATCCTAATCCTACTAATACTGCGTATTGGAGAAGGGAGTGTTTCAAAATCTAAAAGAAGCAGCACAGGTACCGGAGGTTACTAATGTTTGCAACCATACTGACTAACTTATATCTTTCATCTTGGACTGTATGCTATTCACATAGTAACTACACGATATATAGGTGGTGGTGAAAGGTAACGGCGATAAAACAGTTGAAACTTTCTTTAACTATTCAACTTCGATGATCAGGTTTTATTACTGAATATAACAACATAGCAAACTGTTACGCAGTATCTTTTACTGTTGCGGACATCCTCATATCCTGCTGAAGATCAGATCTTTTTATCGATTTCTTTTATCCAACTATGTGACCAATTCATTCTATATTGTCAGAATGCGTTCAAATCATGCCAGTTCTGAGGCAATTGTTAGCATTCAGCAGTTAGGAAATACATCCTACTCATTTCCAAATTGTCACTGGAAGTTGTCAAAAAACTAAAAATTTTCAGTATATCCACTTAACATAGCAAAGGATGAAGTCTATTCGATGGATAAAGGACTAGGTCTAAGACTTACTTGAGATTTTGGGTTTGACCTTTACAAGCCCTGCTCAAGAGTCTAATATTTATGAGACCCAGAGTCGTAGAGATCACTCTTGTCTTACACCTGCCTTGTGGCTCTCATAAGACTACCTCCTATCTTTTTTGATGACTAAGTCAGAGATTACGATTACTGAAAAGGGACTCTCGTCAGCCTATTTCATAGTTTTGATTAGAGATATTTACCCTCCTCGTTTCAGGTTAACCATAACCTTATGAACTTAAGGAAGAGCTAGAGGTTCGCCGTCAGTGTCGCACTCAGTTTATGAAGCAGCAGTTTTGATTTTTAGTTAGACCCAAAAGTGTGTTTGACTATTCAAAGCTTTTCGTGATGAATTTATTATTATGAGTCTTTTTCGTTTTAGAATAGCGATATTCTTAGTTTAGCAAATAGTTCGAATAAGGTTTAGGTAAGAAAATTATATAATTGCAGTCATGAAAAACAGTTTCTAAGATTGTTTTCACCAGAAAGTGATACCGATTGATCCAGATCTCAGAAACAAACATTTTGCTCTCAATTTTTTGCAGTGGGTAAACTGTCACACGAAGACAGGGCAAATATCTTGTGTATACTGTTTAGCGAGAAGTTCTGTGAAGGATTCTTAACATTATAGTCCCTAGGCTACTGGGTTACTTTTAAAGAATAGTTTCACTCACTGTGAATTTACCTACATTATCCAGGGTAATAGCAAATGAAGACAAACACTTAAAAGACATTTCTGTCTAAGGTCCAAACATATCAGTGTGAAATAATCACTTCACCTGTTCGTTCACAGCATGGTTAATCGACAAAGCACTTAGGAATTTTTAATGACGTTGATAAATGAACTTTTGGGAAATCTCTTACCGTGACTCAAATTAGCTGCCTCTAGATTATTGCTAATAAGCAACCATACACACATACTAACCAGGTTTGTACTTTTTCTTCATCAATGAATGTGGTGGTATACTAAATAAGCTTTTCTTAGCCTCGACGTAAGTCTTTACATAACGTTAAAATCTTCCGACAAATATACCTCAGAAGACTTAAGTGTTCCAAGTGTTTATTCCATATACTAACGAGAAAAACATGTAATCCCCTCACTGACACCAGTCAGAGTCAATCCAAGATATTTACAGAACATGCATCTTTTGTGCTATAATTTGGCTTAAAATTCATGAAACTTACTCTTAACGTTGAATCGAGAAATATATTAGTATAATACAGTTGGTCATCATCATCATCTTTAATAGGTGCATGGTTGATAATTTTTTTTAAATTAGATACTGGTCCAATAAATCCTCCGGAATTCAAATATCGTTTTTCTCCAGGCTTCGTTTCTGGATACAAGCTCTAAAAAGGAAGATTAGTAGTCATAATAAAGTAGTGTAATCTTATAAACCTAATTTTGTTAGAAAATAAATCACTAGGTGATGTCTTAAAAACATGTGGTATGATACCGATGATTACTTTTACTTCATCCAATTCAGAATAGAAATTTCATCCCTAAGCAGGTATCATCAAGATTTCTAGATGATAATCTGATTACATAGGAGTTAAGACCTACATCTCACAAGGATCTATCTGGCCGAAATTGGCATCACAAAATATGTAATATTATGAAACTGGGAACACTACGTGTGAAGTTTTTTCATCGAAAGTTAGATGAAGTACTAACTGGTTTAGCGAAAATTTCATAAAGCATAAATTCGCTGGGAAGCACAAATATACTAACACTGTAAGACCCAGCACAACTGCGCTGCACTCCGTGTTGTTATATTTCGCATCGGAACATAGTAACAAAGTTAATGTAGGGAAAGACAAATAGAGCAAAAGTAGATAGTTGAGTTAATGCACAGAAACAGTAGGGTAGGAGATAAAACAAACAAGGTAGGGAAGAGAATATGATGTATAAATTCTTCACTGTAAATGATTCTAAACAAGGCTAATTTAAGTTTTCAGTAACTGATTTTCATTGTTAGTACTACCAAGATGAACCAAAGCTCTATGGAGCGAATTTTGACTGACACTTCTTCTTAATTAAATGGTAGCAATAAAGATTGTTAACTGATTTCTATTTTTCGCAACACAGTACCTGTAACATTAGTGCATTTAACAGTATAACAGACTGAAGAAAAGTCGTCTTTACTCATTTAGTGAGGTGACAAGACAGTAACAAAATCTTCATCATTAACTTATTTTGCATTACCTGTTGAAAAGTTATCAAAAGCTTACTTTCAAATCTGCTTTAGGCCAACAAAATTCCTCTGCGGAAAATACCACTTTTGATCCAAACTTTCTGTATTCCTCGAGTAACTTGTCCACATTTTGCATGAAGACAACGTCATAGCTAGGAAAAAATCAAACAACTTTTGTCGCATGGAATTCGAATATTTAATTATCGTAAAATAAAGCATTAGTATTGCTGCTAGTATAGTTTAGATATCCACTTTACATAAGTGAATATGAACAAACATATTAATCTTTCGTGTGTTTTATTATTGCTATAAACATAAAATAATTATTTTCTCAAAAAATTCAATAAAACCACTTGAGGAAAGGAAAAGATCAAGTCAACATCAATGGTTTTCAGCTGTATATTAGGTATGTCGGTAAAATTTTCATCGTTTATGATAATATATGACTTCAACCATGTATTTAATAGCTGATACTTGGCTATAAATTTATTACTGAGGCAAAAATCGGTCAAAACTTCGAATTTTGATGTGGAACTAAAAGGAAAAACCGATGAAACTTTGTGGAAGCTGATTCATAGAAAGCCGATATGGAATGAAAAAGTGACAGACTTCTACAGCTGGTAGATCAGTGATCAGAAGAGAAATTTAAATATACCCGTTGCTGCTGGCATCAGACACATTTGCAACTCATATGATATAGATGGGGAAATAAGCATTCTAGGAAAGAGTTGGATTTAAAACAGGTATCCACCTCGACTCACAGATGAAACCATCAAGCCGAAACTCATTTTCCGTAACAAAACAGATGCTATGCATGAACCTTGACTTCAAAGGTAATCTCACTGCAGACAACTCGAAGAAAGGGATTTCAAACTCTGCGAAGAGAATGTTCTTCAAAGAAAGTTTGAGAGTAGTGTTGTCTAGTCACTCTTTATTTAGCAATAACCTAAAAGGCAAGATGTCACATCTGGTTATCACTATGTGTGTATATCAATTCACCTGCTGCTGTAGAGCTAAGTATATCAGTTGTTCAATGTGAGTCCCGTCTAAAAGGCTTCAAGAACACTATGCTCTATATCAAAAGTACGATAATTACACACTTTGACACCAGTCATTTGGTTTCATTATTCGTCTCTTTCAAGCTGTTTACAAAGTGGAAATAGACTCGCCAATTTCAGTGCACATCTGCCTACTTTGTATTGCAGAAACTTTAGTAATTCAGGTACCACACCGTGACTTTTTCATAAAAGTAGACTTATCCAACACTTCCTCTTCTCATTGTCTTAGGTTTTAGCTTTCCAAAACAACCGCAACCTTAATTATTATTCTATTCATTTCTAAAATATTATCAGCTATTCCTTGTCGCTATACTCAACCTGATTTCAATCCACTGATTAAACACTTGCCACGTTACTCAACTGTTTATTTAGACTTTATCATATTTACTAAAGTTTCATCACTGAACTAAGTAAAAGTGTATTTTCAGGTCGTCACAATGTAATTTTACTTGTCATAATGCCTAAGAGAAATTGCAGTTTCTCACGAAAAACTGTACATAAATACGATTGTACAGCTTGATGAGTGAAATGATTTTATCAACTTTGTTAGTATGAAGGGTACTGTTAGAAATTAGAGGTAATGACGCTGTATACATGCGATGAGGTAAATCTTATCGCTGATTATTTTTTGGTAAATATAAAGGTCCTTGAGGTGCTGATAATCTAATTTTATGTTTGCGAGATAGCATACCATAGTTTTATGGAGGGTCAGATAGGAACCGTGTTTTAACGATTTACTATCAGTAGCGATACTTATTCTGTGCAGTCAAGTTGCAGATTACGGTGAAGTAAGTTCTGTGTGGAGATTTATGCACATGTGTATCAGCAACTGGGATTCTGTATTATGTTGCACCTCACCACGATACTACAAGAAGTACTAACTTTAGTTATTAAATTATATGTAAGCAGTATTATCCTTTGTTCTTCTGAATAGGTTCCATCAACATTATATAAGGTTGGAAACTAGGCAGTTAATCCCGTTGGAATTTTGACTGACCTACTAAAAAGAATTTTTTTAGATCCTTTTACCGCAGAATTTTACTATTAAGCAGTCGCATTTCACATGGTTTGGAACTTTCACAGCACTTTTGTAAGACAAATTATAGTAAGCGTAACAGAATTACTGGTACAATAACGACTTGTTAGCAGTTACTTCAGGCTTTGCGTACTATGACAGGCAAACTAGATTAAAGCATGGTAATGTTTTTAGTTTGAAGCGATGTTTGAAAGTTATCTGCATGCACCTAGTTTACTTCGTGGCTAGTGGCGATTAAGTCAAACGAATGCATCAAGGATAAGATAAGGAAACAGTGATTTCGAAGTAATTTTAGCTTCTTTACTTTCAATTGGATCTAAAAGTCAACTTTCTTCTCTAAGCTACAAGTACTGTGGATACATTCTCATGCACACTATTTGATTACCTATTCATATCATAAAATTGAAGATAGTACTCATGTTATGAAATCCTAACCAAATAAGTATTTCGACAGGTTTCACCTTTTGAGGAGGGGGATACAGGACCTAGTACAATTTAACTCTTATTCATACAGTATTGAAGGGCTACGAATTAGTTCCTAGTAGCTCATACTAGAAGTGTGAGTGACTGAAGCAACACATTCAGCACACTGAACAAATTTTTCTGCCTGAATTGTCACATTTCCCCATTTTCTTCTGGAGGTAATGATCTTTAATGCAACTCGAAGAAATTAGAAATTTTAGATGATAAGTTATGGTGACTGTCTCCCTCTCAAACCTTATTTTCTTCACTTCTGTTTTTCCCTGTTAGAAAGACTGGGCACTTTTATCCAGATAAGGCATAAGAAGAAAATTATTTACCGCGAGCAGAATCAATCTATCTGTGTACCACTTTCTTAGTTGCCAGTGACAATGAGTGACAACTTACACAAACATAGAACACTTTTATTCATTCTTTTGCACACCAGCAAGGTTTAAAATGATTCGACGTCTGGCAAAAAGACTAGTATGATGTGATTGCGGAAAAATAACGCCACAAGTTGTGGCAAAGTTTACTAAACTCCAGACAGGAACTATTATGGAATAGTAATCCCCGCATCAGAAGCATGCCTTTATGCATATGAATTAGATATCTGGCCCTTATTTGAATCAAAATATGAGCTTAGGCACTTACTCCATGGAGGAAGTTCAAAATTCTGCTTATGAAAAACTCTAAACACAAGCGTAGCATTAACTTCGAGTAGTATCAGCTGCTGGGTTGTTGAATGATGATCAAACAACCCAGCTCAGAAAACGCAATACAACCAAGATCATCCGCCTAAGATTTAAATATTCTCCATTATTTCAGTATCACCTGCTTTTCTTCTAGCAGCATTCGTCTGACTGAGAGTCGAAAACAGTGAACATTTTTGCCACTCTCGTTTTTCTCTATGTTTTGTTTTGATAAGTGGTCCAGTTCATATAAAAATATCCCTCCTACTATAGATTTAGTTTTAGTGATGCTAGACTGTGAACAAAAATAAATACCTATATGGTTCCGTACTATATTCAAAAATGTGATCATATGATTGTATATAATCCGCATTGTCACAAACTAAACCTTTTCATTTGTTTCGAAGCAGGTTTTGAGATATTTTTTACCGCATAAGTTAATTCTATAATGACATGTCTTTTGACTAGTACAAAGTGAAAGCTTTTGAAACACTCTTACCTTTCTTCCAGAAAATATTTTTTGAAAATCTATTTTAATGTCGTTCTAGAACCATATGCATGAATATTTTCCCCGTATTGTATCCACAACAACTTAGCCAGCTTTTATCGCCCCAGGAGTACAGGGTCATATATTGAATATGCTGCATCCGAAAATTCAATTTTTAAATTAAGTTCGACTTCAGCACGTGAATAACATTTTTGTGTAAAGAGAATAATTGTCTGGAGATATTGCTAACCTTTTTCCTATTCAGTGAATCTTGGTATGTGATGAGAGTATTAGTCTTGCTATGTTGGCTTCAGGATTTAAAGCGGCTTTCAATTACATGGTGCTTCAGACTAGAACGTAGTTCATCTCAGCTGCTGTTCAAAACATTTTTATTAAATAGGATAAAGGGTATATAGGTGCCTGTATTAATTTTTGTATTTATGTGCCGCTAGTTACTTTTGATAAAATAAGTTGAATTTCGGTTCCGGTTATTCGTCACATATATCGTATCTTTTCAGATCGAATGTAAGGCTATCAGGTTAAGTCGATATTGAAACTGATGACTATTTCATGATTTTACCACTCGAGAGCCAGATATTCACTGATCGACAAAGGAATTTACCAGGCGGTGAAACTGCCTAAACTAGAAATCAGCACACTTTTGAACTCCCTGAACTTCAACACACCTTGTGAATTTTTCTCAGTCCTTCCAAAATCCAGCCACATTAATACTTGCTTATACTGAATGAGTCTACTTTCACTATCTTGTCCTAGGAAGAAAGGTGATCTCATACCGTGGTTGTATATCTTGATTACTGCTTTCACTGCTGATGTGTATGGTATTTCCTGTCGCATAAAAATGGATTATCTTCGGGATAATACCAAGGAATTTCAAAGACTAAATTCAAACAAGCTAACCATGAACCTACAATTATATATTTTACGGTTTAATGACTTAGACCCTAATTCCGGAAAGTGGTATTAGCTTCCTTTGAAGAGAAACTGGATGATCAAAGTCATATCGAATTGAAGGATTAAAACAAGCCAAGTAGGACATAATTACTCATAGTCAAGACTGAAAAACATGCGTGGATTCTACATTTCCAAAAATACTGTATTTACTCTACCAGTTCAGCCAAATTTTATATGTTACAGTCAATGGTGGCCAAAACTATGTTATACTCCGCAGCTATTCGTAAACAGCTGAAGATTTATTGTGGAAAGAAATGCAAGTCTTAAAAAGAGGTATTTTCCGTTGAGTTTGGAGACTTCAAAAGTTTCGCTTAGAACTTATTTTCGAAATTTTAGTCTTAGAGAAATTCAAGGATTTTCACCCAATAACTACTTTACTGTTGACAATTTCTTAGCATCATGTATGGGAATAGATTATATGACATATCCTTATCAATACGTTGATGAATTGCTGAGAGATATAATGCAGTGTTTGCCTATCTTTGAATACGCTCCTAGAACATTCATACTGAAAATATAAGGTGTAAATGAACGTGGCAAAGCTCACTACGAAACTTATTGACAGTGATAATAGGTGTTTGACTTTAGACCCTGATAAATATTAAATCCACCTTTATATAAAATGATTCACTTACCTATCAACAAACAGAATAAGTTGATCGTCTCTGTAGGCCAGGTCAGATAATTCCTCCTTCAACAAATTGATCTTCTGTCCTCCACCAGTAGATGTTGCGACATTTCCACCCGACCATCTACGACCTTCCCCAAGAACCTTTATCACGATATCCAGTATTTAGAAATTTTGACTCACCTTAACAGTAAACCCATTTAAACTGCATGATCTTAAGAATCTGTGTAGGGCGTCATTTTTCTCCGTTGCTACAGTCAGAACAAGAACATCTGCATCCAGAAGTTTTTAGATAGGTGAGAAGAACTTACCATGGAATAGACAAAATTCTGATGTTAATAGCGTTAACACTAAAATTAAAACTAGGAAACTAATGCGCGACATCTCCAACATCCGTTTGAAAATGATGTTGAGGTTACCTTTTCATGAGTTGGAACCGTAAAACAAATTCCACATACTATGATTGCAGTGCTGTCCGATAATACTAGGCAGGAATATTTTCCAGGGCTCAGGGTTAAAGTGAAATGTCGTAGAGATTTATTTAACAGTATTGCGTTGATACTCTTAACGACTCATAACTGAAGATTTTGTTCGGTTGTACTGATTTAAGAAAACTTTACCTGCTCGATGACCAATACAGTATCCAGATATACGCTTCGCGTTAACTCCTGATACTTACACTGTCTGACGCAGGTAGATCAGCAGTGTCGGGAATAATGAACAGGTGATAGTGTATCTGGAGGCGTGTATAAATTTGGATTCAGATTTTGGGGCTCGACAATGTCACGCAAACAATCAAATGCCATTCGTCTTTGCTTTTTCACTAGTTACTGAGACTTAAATAAAATTTGATTAGGAGACTAGTTTCCTGCAGGAAAAAGTCATGTTTGATCAGACAGTCTTTTCCATATAATAACACAATAAAAGTTGCTCATGTCCTACTCAAAAGGCTCTTTCGAATACAATGGTTGGTTCCTAACTAGTATGATTTGATATTTTCAGCGAGGGTCAGGGTTATGTTAGCATTACCAGCTTTCTAGTGCTTTTGCGGAAGGATTTGAAATTTCATTCTATTTCGTAGACTATTTTTAAATGCCTCAGGTGGTTGGTAACAGAATAGAAGTAGCTTTGGCTAAGATGGTTCCTATGTCTAAAGAAAGTGGACAACACGTTACTCTGGTTGTTAACCCATGTACGATTATAGAGAAAAGATGGCAATTGGACTACGAGAATGAAGTCAGTTTTGAGGAGAGGACTTATGAAACGCACGTTACGTCCTCTGCGTTATCCTCATGCTTTTGGATCTCGGCCATCTGCTTACCATCTAGTTACCCTTTTCGTCAACGAATTAAAGCATCTACACCTACACACTATCTGCTAACTGTTCCTATCACCTTTTTGCATTTACTGGTTGTATATCTCTGACTTACATCAATACGTGAGTTTTAGAGTGATAGACTGGACTTCAGTGTACTTCGTTGGCTATTTGACGGGGGGTTGAAGCAGTTCTCTGCTTTATATAACAGCTTACTACCGAGGCTGAGGTCAAAAGGCAACCGGTAACTTTGCCTGAAAATGGTTTATTTACTAACGGTTCCTCTGTCGATCTGTCAGACGTCATGACATGTATATAATGGTGTTATTGCAAACAAGCGTAATACCGTGGACAACAGTAATGAGATTGCTGATCTTCAGCGTAAATCAGATTGTCTTACACCTCTGATCTGCCCACTGAACCCTACAACAGGCTTATTGGTGGATAGTCATATCAAGTGTGAAACATTGGTGAACTTTGTGGTCACTGAGGTCATCAAACGACTGACTTCGTCACACAACTCCACCATCCTCAATCCTTATGACAGTTTTCCATTAAAACGTGCTGAAAATGATCTTCTCCAAGCCTATGGTTTGCATGAACCTGTTTGCGCAGCCAGGCGTCCTGGAAAGAGCACTAGTAAATCCCCCTGTCCAATGTTATTCCAATTCAACTCACTCCTTGATATGAGACATTTCCGTGGTTCACAGAAATCTGTGGGAATATTAGGGTACTTTCAGATCCTACCCCCGGTCAACGAAGCACATGTGGTTCGAAGCCTCATGAAGTCCTGGAGACTTGATCCAAACCGACGGCCACCGGAGGCACGTTGACGCCTGGGAGTCAGTTCATCTCATCAGATCACATTGTATGTGTGGACCAAGAAAGGCTGGCCGAGCATATGGTTGAGAGTATATCAGCTGCTACCGTTTCGCCGGCCAACATAGTTGTAACCGCTGAAACTGAAGGTGAAATCTCCGTCACTTATGGAGGTTTTGAGGGAGTTTTGGGGATTTGGGACGACTTCAAGTTGTTATTCATCGTAGGCTTACATCATTTGGAGGGGCGAGGGAGACCTGGGAGCACTGGACAGCTGCTTGGTCCTAATGTGGGTTTCCTCAGCAGTACACACCCACGATACAACCAGGGATGGAACCCGCGACCTCCAGGTTCCTTGGCCAGCACGTTACCATTGAGCCACTGGGCCAGAATCCACTGGTTCATATTTCCAACTTCTATTAGCTCACGATATGGCGCAACCGCCACCCACGATGAGAAACAACTTGAAATATTTCCAAATCCCCACGACTCCCTCAAAATTCTATTGAACCGGTGCTCACTGGTGACCAGCTTCGAGAGACATTCTTGAAGTTCCAATGATAAGCTGTGACCGGTGGGGAAAGCCTGGTGGTTGTGAGGATAGTTACTCAAAGATGACATTGGGTGGCGGCCGCGCTACATCCTGAGGTAACAGAAGTTGGAAATATGGACGATTGGGCCATGACCCAGCGGCTCAATGATACCGTGGTGGCCACGGAATCTGAAGGTCGCGGGCTCGATCCCTGGTGGTATCGTGGTGGGCACTGCGTAACTTGAAATTTTGTTTATATTTTATCGCGCTTCCTCTCACTCGGGATCGCGTTATTTATTTGGAACCACCAAAGCTGTGACAGCTTCAAAAATTGGGCGATATAGGTGCATAATCATGCCCTTAAACCACCATGTGCTCCAATTCGCAAACATAACTTTTTGTTATCGACAGCTGATGATCCATAGAAAGGGCACATTCCAGATTCTGGATGACATTCTCTCTGCCGTCCGCCATGGGTGCGCCTCATTTCTCACTGAGCCCCTCGGCAGGTCATTCACATATTGCCCTAACGAAAGGCATAGCGCTTGATCTTTGAAAGTTAGGTCGCGCCCCACCTATCTTTAAGAACAGTCAACGAATAATAACAATAATGTATTTTGAATAATGAATTATACGAGCACATGCCATTTCACAGGCAACATCTAAATGTTATTTACTAAATGAAGCTGAAAAAGTTTAGAAAGAAACAAATCATCGTGTCATACGAAGCCTTCTGGAGTAAACAGTTGATTGAATATCGCTGGTCACAAATGTTAGATAAAAGCGATATCGTCAAATAGCAGGAGTGAAAACTAATCTGGGTATAATCATCCAATGTGGGGAGTATCCTGGCAATAGTGAAGCAAATAATCTATAAGGGTATATTGCATGTCGAATGTTGAGAATAGATGAAGCTGAAGATATCTCAGTATTCGATAAATCCGTACTATCTGCAGGTGACAGATGAAACTGGAATAAAGTACTGGAACGGGCGGCGAGGGGGAAATTTGGGTATGGTATTGTATGGTTTCATGCAGTGTGGCAATTCTTTAGGTCTACAATGTTGTAAACAGGGCCGTTCGAATGAACACAACAAACCGCAATTAAGTAACTCATCTTTCCACACCGTCGAAAATAGGTGAAGCTTTTGATTTTTAGCACCTCATGCAGCCAACTGATACCCATTAACTTCATTGCAGCCCATCGCCATGATTTTAGAGGATGACATATGTGCCACTGATCTATTAACCGCAGCAGATAATTGGACATGTGACATTGATATAGGAGTGGAACAGATGCGAATTGCCTTGAATTTTTTAGGGATGTCGATTGCGTCAACCACAAGTACCACATCAAGTAGATGGGGTTAACACAAACCAGTTCCCTGGTAGTTGACCGTTTGTCATCACATTTTACTGACCACCTGTTTAAACCCCAAGTGAATTTGACCATATCCAAGGTTGCGTGTGGCGCGTTGCCTGAATACTGATGTATTTTGCCTCACCTAGATTCTTTTCATAAATAGTCACCTTTACGACCGTCCACTACATACAACCCAGCTCTAGGTTAGTAGATGGCAGACCTCACTAGCACATTTTGGACCCTAGCTTGACTCCAAGAACTGCCGAAAGGGGGTTAGCAGAGAACAGGAGATCCTTAACCGAATCTTCTGGTCATGGCCACGGTTACCACACGTGCATTCTTTTCTCAGCAAGGAGTGACGCAGGCTTCGAGAATTACCTCCATGGGGGAGTGCGCCGCCGATGCTTTCATGATGCACCGACCACGCACATGATCCTGATACAGATGCCCTCAGTGATGCGTGAGGCTGCTTCTGGCTTTGAGCTCACCTGAGGGGTCATGTAAGAACCGCCTGCTGTTACCCAAATGCGCGAGCCCACTAGAAAACGCTAGGAGGAAAAGATCACAAAACCAACGCAGCCAGCGAATCCCCGTGAATGGTCATATCTGCAAGCAGTCCGAAGGAGAACAAAGGATAAACCGCAAAGCTGACTACACCAGCCTTGATTCCTGAAGATACAATAAATTTTAAGGACATTGAAAAATTGGTAGGAGTAGAAAAGAAGGGGTGACTTTTTCATAAAAACTGACCCATGGCGCATGAAAACACAAATGTAGACTACCGATCGAACTCTGATATCTTTGGAGCTCCTGGATACAACTGCGGCCTTCGTTCGACGAATAGCGCCAGATGCTGTGGGCTGCACACCAGGAATCGGCATTCCATCAGCAGACATTTGCCGGGCCCAGAAAGACAGTCATTTGGCTCCCGGGAGCAGGAGGCCCCCGAGAATTCCGCACAAGGGTCAGCAAAGTTTTCCCACCTGGAGGATATCATCAATTGTTCTATCACATGGGGCAAGCCTGCGTTCGCTGCCATTCTTCCCTTTTAGGAATGACGTCTTGGTGAGTCTCAGCTCACCGATTTTGCCTTGCGCTGACGATGTTAAGTTATATGAAGCCGTGAGACTCTCAGTTACTTATTGAGTGGATGGGTATTTACGGATTAACATTCAACCTAGATGGGTGCTGAATCATGTTTCCTCACATCGGTCGCCCTCAAAAAGTATCCCACTTTTTTCGTGGAACAAAACTTTACCAAACCACCTAGGACTGGTGCTGATCTACAAGCTGAAGACCAGCTAAAGCTATCCAGATACCTCCAAAGCCTACGCAGTGCTGATTTCCATGCGTAGACAGCCAAGCAGACTA